GAAATTCTTATATAAGATTGGCTATACTATTACATTTAAATCTTGTGTGGTTTACTGTGCAAGCATATACTATATCCTAATACAATTTCAAAAATTTTAATTAGTTTAAGAAACAAATAATTAAAAAACTGACACCTAACTAGTTCATTTTATGTAACAGTATACAAGCCTAATAAAGAGAGCAGAGCTGACAGGAGATGGAATCCCAAAAGATAGTTAGAAAGTATAAATTATCAGATGTTATTCAGCCACCCCATCTCACTCCTGCAGCACTCACAACTTGGCACTTCAGTGGAAGGTGGCAACACTGACCTTAAATGTAACTGCCTATACTAATACATGAAGGGAATTAATCCTGTGATGGTTTGAGAAGCGGAGGGGGTAATTTATACCAGAAGCCTGACAGCCCCTAACTCCAACTCACAACTGCAATTATTATTCATCATAAAAATACCTGGATGTTGAAAATGTGGCTGAAATCCTTTGATCTCTGCAAGGTCCACCTCACTCCTCATGCCCTGAACTGGATAGGCTTCATCTTGAAGGTGGTTTTTGAACTTTTATGCTTTCCACTTGCAAAGTCATCCGGAAATTCTGGATCTATGCTCACCTGATATGACTACAGAGTCCTTTTGTTTAATAGACCACTACAGTTACTTCTAGACTGTCTTTCCTTTGTACAAATAATTGGTGAAGTAATACCACTTAGAGGCTCATGTGTTTTAAGGCCCCACCTTTACATACTTTAGAGACACAATTTATGCCAGCCTAACGGTAAGTTAGAGTGCAAGTTTAATGAGATGTATATAAAATTAGTACTTCTAAAGACACAGGATTTATAAAATATTGTGACAACCATCAAAATGTTATGAAATGTTATGGAAGTTTCAATGTACCTTCCATAGTTTCACCTTGGTTTATCACCTTCTTTACAAAATGCGAAGGAGATATAACAAGAACATAAATTTTTCATCTGTTGTCATAAATTTGTTTTTATTTAAGAGCAACTGCGGTAGCTCTGATGAGCACAATGTAAATTCCAGCTTAGGAAGCCATCACTGCTGAAAGTCACAGTGGAAGGAAACATTAATTCTCAGGACAGGCTTTACCCATCAAGATGCAACAGTCACTTCAGGACTAGTCTCAACAGCTGCGAGGATAAGGGCAGAAGTCCTACAAAAAGCATTTTCTGATGACTCTTTCGCATAGCACAGGTCACAAGGAAACAGACTACCTCCCTTGGTAATTCCAGCCCCCAGAGAGCTGCCGTGCTTGCGTGCCACTGCTCCCAGAGCTGCCCGAGTACTGCAGAGGTGCTAGAATTAGACCCAGGATGCCCTCTGGACCGCTGTTTGTGACACGGTGGTGGAGTGGGTTTCACCTTTAATAAAAACTCCAGACAAAGTCAACCCATCTGACACTATTTTGCCCATTAGTAGTGCAAGTAATTTACATGTCCCTACTTGGGTTTATATATTTGGGGCATCTGTTTAGTTTTTATTACTTCTGGCCTTGGCTCCCACACTCCTTCACAGATCAAATAACTGCTTTCCCTATTTGCTAATTCCAACAGCTGGTTATTACTCACCAGACTCCTGCTACACTCGCCTGGGGAAGAATCATAAATAAATGTGTACAAGCAAGCAGATGCTGTCATTTTAAAAGCTGATCCACCTAGTAAAAATGTCCTACTTAGGACTCAAGTGGTGAATCACTGAGCATGTGTCCTGATGTCATTTTAATAAAATCAAAAAAAAATCACAGGACTTTGTTCATTAATTCAAATTAGTAAATGAAGAAAGAGCATTAGAGAATATTACTACAAATAAATAATTACTGAATTATTTTGAAATTCTGAAAAAAATTCTGAACAGGCCAAAGACCTGCCCTTTCCAATGAAGACAAAGGCAAGGTAAGATACAGAGCATTTTTTTTTTATATTTGGTATAACTAATCACTTTTCCACCAGTGTCAGACAAGGTAACATCAAGTAGCTGTGGGTTCTGGAATCTATGACTATAAAGAGAAGAGAGAAATACAGATGGTTTATCAGACTTCATTATCACTTAATTGTGTGCCTGTTTATTTTTTTTTTTTAAATAGGTAATTTCTTTCTGAATGTCAGTGATAGGAGAAAGTGAGCTGCCTAGAGCGTATTTGAAAAATACAGAGAATATAAAAGAGAACAAAAAGTGCTTTGCAGACTATACACAGGAAGCAGCAAGGAGAAAATCTTAGTACCAACTTTTCCTCCATGTTTTAAAAGGGACATCCTTCTGCAAGGTTAGGCAGCTTGGCTTCCATAATCTTTAAAAAATGTACTTCTGATGGAAACAGCACAAGTTGCAGTGATGGTTGTATGATCCACAGAGAAACAGAACTCTCTCTCACATCAATTTCTGCAGGTTACACAGATGACAATAATCTTTGTTGGCAGCAGGAATTAAATTATCTCTTGTTGACTTAAAATGGAAATGTCTAGCACTGAAGTCATCCACATCTTTGGTCAAAAAGCTCACCAAAAAAAAAAATATCTGCAGCAGTTCACAGACATGTCAAAACCAGTATGCATGTACTGCAAGCTTTATTAACCTCATAACAAAACTTCCTAATTCAGCTTTTGCAAATCTGTTGGGTTTTTTTCCAGTAAAGACAATTTCAACCAAATTGCTAAGATGCAGTATGATATTATGAGCTTTTTAATGTATTTTCCTCCCAGAATGAAGGCCAAACACACTACAAGACTTACATACCCGAAAACCTATATCTTCATTAGCTTAGCAGATATACAGCTCAGCCCTTTCAAGACTATTGATGTTATACCAGCATTCAAACCACTGTACCAAAATACGAGTGACTAGAAATAACTGTTTTCCAGTGTATACTCAAAGAGAAACGCTGAACCTCCCTAAATACCCAAAAACTAAAATCTACTCCCAGCTGGTTCTTTACCTGCAGTAGAAGTCATAAAGCTCATCATGGCCTTACTGCTCCACCACTGTGCTAGAGATTGCGTGTTCATAACTTGGTATTATTTAAAATACCAGAAAGAAAATCCAAATCTTCCAAACGTAATTTGTGAAAATATTCCTAATTTTTAAACTAGAAAAACTACAATTTAGCGAGAATTGTATTAACCAACTTAAAGAGGAATAGAAGTTAATATAAATGGCAATAAAAATTGGACAGTCCATAAGCACAAGACCACCAACACTTGCTAGCATCATAAATTATAAATATTGAACACAAGGCCTAACGAGAAGTTTTTCTTGCCAATTAAATACCTTCTCCTATAGCAGCATATATTAACATTTAGCAATCAAAGAGAAAATTCTAAATGAAGGTGCTAAAATCACACAGTCACAGGACGAATTTAAGGTGCCAAGAGAAAGGCAGTTAGAAAACAGAGACTAGATAGGCCAGCTTGATAAGCCAATGCAGCAAATCTAAAGTGTGACATAAGAGGAGGAAGTCATTCAAACAAGACAGCTGGGAAATGGGGCAGCAGAGTGTCACAAGCAGCAGCAGTGACAGGAGGACTCAAATCAACTCTGTTTTTTCAGAAGTACTAGTGACTGAGTATGGGACAAAGAAGAATGAGTGTTCTCTCAGTACGAAAGGTGATGATTTTAACTTTTTCTGTAAATGTAAGATTTTGCATCATCTCAAGATTTCAACCCCAAACAACTTTCTAATGAGTTACAAATTCCTCATTTCTTGTGATGTTGTTTTAGATTTTGGTTTGTGAAGTTAAGACATTCCTCAGAGTTGCTGAATTTTAAGTAAAATGGTATTTTCTTTGCAGTCGAGTATTAAGTACTGATAACATGTTCAGGGCACATTATCAAAGCAAGCTGGGGCTGAAAGATGCCGTGCAAAGTGTGTTAGAAAATTGGGGTCCGTATTTCACACAGGAAGCATGTCTCAAGCACAGATTAAAAGCATGCAGCATAAACCACCAAAAGGACATCGCCTTACAGCAGCATTCATCCCTGACGCTTCCAGGTTCCTCTCTGGTTACTCCGATCAGCATGCAAAGTCTCAGATAGGCTTTCTTTCTACTACTTAAGAACAACATTGATTAGAGTAACTCACATCTTCCAGGAGTCATCTGCTTGTTAATACCTGTCCCACTTCGGAAAGATTTCCAAAGTGAAAACAGCTATCTCCCTCATACCATCACTGTACGGGTAACACATACACTACAGTAGACAGAAAACTACATTGAATTTATACATTCCCTTTTAATGCAAGCAGCTGCATCAACCATACAGTTATAGACGCACTGGCCAACAGCCCAAATGACACCATCCAGGCGGAGTTTCAGTGACACTAAACTGCTCGCGGAGACCTGGGCTACAGCTTCACCGAATCTTTAACCCAGCAAAAACCAGCAGTGCCGCCGAGAGGAACGGCTCCGCTTCCCTCACCCGCCTGACGCTCCTATCGCCCGCCTCCCCTCCTTACACCCGTAAGAGCAGGGAGCTACGTGGTGAACCAAGCGATGAGACTGACCTGGGCTAAAACTAACCTTAAAAAACGGGTGCTTGTTTAATCTACAAAAGGTTTTCGTTCCGGTTCGTTATGCAGCTGCATGAAGACTCGTAGCAGCACCCGGGCACAAACGCAAGGCCGAGCCAGGCGCGAGCGGGGCTGCTCCTTCCACCAGCGGCGCTCTGGAGCGCCGGCTCGCAGCGGCCGGGGAACGCTGTCAGGCAGACGCGCTCTGGAAAGCACCGGGAAGAGCAGCGCAAAGCCAAGCCAAGCCTGCAGCTGCGGCCGCGGAGGTGCCAGCGCGAGGCGGGGGTCACGGCGCCCGACTCCGCCGGGCTGCCGGCAGCCCCAGCGGGCCCCGCCTGGGCCGCCGGCCCCGGGCGAGGGGCGGGACGCGGGGCCGGCTGCCTCGGCCGCGCTGCCCGCGGCGGCGCCGCTCCCGCAGCCGCCGGGGCGGGGTCCCCCGCGCCGCGATCCTGGCGCCGGGCCGCGCCCGCCCCCCCGGCCCGCGCAGGCCCGGCAGCGCCGCGGTGCCGGGGCGCGCTGCCATGGCGGCGCCCGCCGGCCTCTGGGCGGAGGTCAGGGCGCTGCTGCCCGGCGCCGAGCAGGGGCTGACCTTGGCGCTGAGCGGCGACGTGGAGGACTGCGTCCGGCTGCTGCTGCAGCGGGCCCGCGGGCTGCTCTGCGGCGCGGCCGGCCGGCCCTGCGCGGCCACGGCGGCGCAGCTGCGGCGCCTGGGCGACGTCCTGCGCGACTACTCCTGGGAGAAGCTGAACGCGGGGCCGTGGCGGGAGGTCGGCAAGGCCTGGCGGCAGGTCTACGCCTACGGCTGCCTCTTCGGGGCGCTGGCCGAGGTCGCCGCCGGCCGCCCGCTGGCGCCCGCCGTGCGCCTCTGCGACATGGGGCTGCTGATGGGCGCCTCTGTCCTGGACAACGTCCTCGCCCGTCTCGTCCGCGTCCTGCAGGCGCACCTGCCCCGCGCGGAGCGGCGCGGCCCGGCCGCGGGCACCGCCGAGGTGCGGCCCTGGGGGGGCCCGGCCGCGGGCACCGCCGAGGTACGGCCCTGGGGGGGCCCGGCCGCGGGCACCGCCGAGGTGCGGCCCTGGGGGGGCCCGGCCCCCGGCCGCGGGCACCGCCGAGGTGCGGCCCTGGGGGGGCCCGGCCGCGGGCACCGCCGAGGTGCGGCCCGGGGGGGGCCCGGCCGCGGGCACCGCCGAGGTGCGGCCCTGGGGGGGCCCGGCCGCGGGCACCGCCGAGGTGCGGCCCTGGGGGGGCCCGGCCGCGGGCACCGCCGAGGTGCGGCCCTGGGGGGGCCCGGCCGCGGGCACCGCCGAGGTGCGGCCCTGGGGGGGCCCGGCCCCCGGCCGCGGGCACCGCCGAGGTGCGGCCCTGGGGGGGCCCGGCCCCCGGCCGCCACCCCCTGCCCCGCGGCTCCGCGCCTCGTCTCCCCGCCACGACACCCCCCACACGCCCCCGGCTCTCCTGCCGCCGGGGCGAGGCCGGGCTCCCTCACGCTCCCCCGGCGTCTGCTCCCCGCCGCTGCAGCCCCGAGCTCGGCGTTCCCCTTCCTCCCGCCCTTCCCCCCCGGGCCGGCGGCAGGGGTGGCCGCGGTGGCCCTCGCGAGCAGGTGTTGAAGCAGGATGTCTCTGTTCCAGAGGGTCCGGACTGACCACCCCTCTCCAGTCCCTGTTGTGCAGCTGGAAGATGCGCTTCCACACCTTCAGTGCCCTTCGCTGGAGCATTTCAGAGACAACTACCTAATCCCACAGAAGCCTGTGGTCTTAGAGGGGATTATGGACCACTGGCCGTGTATGAAGAAGTGGAGGTGAGAAGAGTTTCTTCCCTGTCCTAGTAAAGGCAAGGATCATTTTATGCGTCAGGTATCTTGATGCTCAGTAGAGACCTTCACAGAAGACAGGTGCCATCAGCAGTGACTTTTGTTGGCAGCACCTTCCTGCTGCTATGTTGTCTTCGCTCTGTGGAAGTCGCTTCATAGATGAAGGAAGCACATCCAAGCATCCAGAGCGTCAGGCGGTAGATGCTCCAGTGTGTCAGGGAAACACAGTCCTGGCCAGGCGGGCACTGAAGGGCAGCCCTCAGCCCTGCCTCCCAGGGCTGTGCAGATTGCTGATGCTGTGTGTTGCTCAGCTGCAAACCAGAGACGCACATGCATTGCTAACACATCCTAAGTGGGTCTGTGTCAGACACAGATCACTGATTTTTGTGTCTCAGAACCTGCTGATAATTCCTGCAATGGCAGGTGAATTTCAGAGACATGTGAGTAAGCACGACTAGCTTTTTCATTAAGTACAAGTATTGATGTTTGTTCAGTGTCATGTTTTGAGTGTTGAGTTTCAGACATCACCATTCAGGAGTGGGTAATAACGTTGTGCTGCTTGTGTAATGTAAGTAATGGAGCCAGCAATTCCAATACTGAAAATTGAGTATTTGTGAGATAAAGCTCATGATTCCTTAGAAAAGGGGAAAAAACATTCACACTTAGTTTGAGCAGTTGCTTGCATTGCACAGCCAAGGGTAAAATTGACATTAACTGAACACACTTCTTATTTCATAGGGGTTTTATTCTTATTTTGAGGGAAGGTACTCCACTTAACTTCAAACACATAAAGAGATTAACTTTTTCGTTTGGTTAGTATCATTGTCAGTGGAGAGATGTGTACCACCCGTCAAAGTAATTCCTCAGACTTTAGCCAGGGTGGATATTGTTGGCACTTGTATTCAGAATTTGTCACTGACAGAGAGTTGATCTAGCATTAATGATAAAAATATATATTCTATTTAGCAAACGTGGCAGCAGGCAGCAAAAAGATTATCCATCCCTAGATAAGAGAGAATAACAGCTTAAATCTCCTTAGCTTATTAGGAAACAATAGTTAACTGAGGTACACAAGGTTTTAAAACAAAACAGACAGTTGTGACATAATGTACACACAAACTTGACTGTTTCCTTGCTGCTTGCATCCTTTTCTGCTGCCTTTTGTCTCTGGGTGGTTTCAGAGAGAAGAAACTCATGGTAGTAGAGTTTTATTACTCTTAAAAGATTGGTTTTGATTGCTTGCCTTAGGTTCAAAATTAGTAAGAAGAGCAGTATAAAAGGGTAATGGAACTTTCTTTATTCCAGTGTGGACTATTTTTGTCAAGTCGCAGGGTGCCGCACAGTCCCTGTTGAAGTGGGTACCCAATACACAGATGAGGAATGGTCTCAGAAGCTCATGACTGTCAGTGACTTCATCAACCAGTATATTGTGAATAAGGTCTGTTAACTCTAATTTTTTTCATCTCCAAGTACAGCAGTGTGTTATTGGTACAGAATTTCTGCTTAGAACAAACAGGCTTAGAGGTGATGTCAGGGAAGGGGGTATGCTATAAGCACAACTCTGAGTGAAAAGTTTTGTCATATTTTCAAGATCTGAAGCTACAAATAGTAATTGCAACAATATCTAGGTTTGATTTTGATATATAATCAAACATAAAGCAGCTGGAATTTGATGAATAGATAGATACCTTCTGTAGCAAAAGCCTGAATGGTGGAGTCTAACAATCCTCAGCTAGCAGTTTTGTTCCTCTTGGTTATTAAACCGCTTAGTGATATCTAGGATCAAGATCCACTTTCACATGCCACCGGCTAAAAAACTGAAAAGTTGATTAGCAATTGAATGTCCTTTTACTTTCACAGCCGAGGATCTGAAGCCCTCATTTCTGTTTACTAGTATTCTGACAGGAAGAACCGTGTGCTATTGCAAATTGGGAGTAGAGGTAAACTAGTCTGTATACCAGCAGGGTCTTGCTATAAAGATGCAGTGTTGTCACAGGGTTGACAACAGAACCGTTGAGACTCTGTAGGACTATAGCTAGGCTTCTTCCAGTAACTCGAGCTAGACAATTTGTTGATTGTGGGGATATATCTACACTCATACGATTTCAGTGTAGCTGTGAATTACTATTTCAGAAGACCCATATGCTAGTCAGCTGTTGAAACAATTCTAGTACTCTGAAATAGGACATTGGAAATGGATGTTACCTGTAAATAAATTCTAATTACCTGTTAGTAAATTAACTGACTGAGAAGTTTTACCCCTTATGTCACTCTGCATTTTTTTTTTTCTTTCTCTGCTGTATTTTCAGAACAGTATGGGATACCTTGCCCAGCACCAGCTTTTTGATCAGGTAAAACTGAGTGAATGTTTTTTATCTTTCTGCAGTCAAGTGTTTTCTCTGCAGCACAAGTCATCTCTGAGGATGTCAAGTCTACTAGATGGAAGGGCATACGGAGAATTCACAGTATTTCTTAAGTTTCTCTTCCCACAATTTTAAGGAACAGACAGATGCATTTGTTCCATTTGACTGAAAGGTGTGGAAACAAAACCCTTTCAGGGGTGAAGACATTCAATCTTAGTGCTATTTCAGTATAATGTATCATATGCTTATAGGGATATCACCTGGAAAGCAGTATTTCCCCAAAGAACATGTAAGTCGGGGAAGAGATTTGGTCAGGAGAGTCTTCAGTGATATGTTCATCATAATCTGAAATATCATTCCAGTCAAACAGAGATTAGGCTGATGGGAGATGTAAAAAGGAATCTCACGGAGAAGGAAGCTTAGTGAATAAAAGATCAACTGCACTTTCTTCATGAACAGCAAATCTACTTATTCTTGTGGGTTTCTCTGGTTTCTGCTAAAGCAAAGGGTCTCTGAAGAATGAGAAACCCCTTTCTTTCTCCAACCTCTCCTTCCAACAGAGTCTACTTGCTAGGACAGAAAGTGTGAGGACGTTCCTAGCAGTTCAGCTACTTCTCTCCTGCCTTTGCAGGACAAGCAGGTCACTTGCTTTCTTTGTGTCAAGCCTTGTTCCTCTGTTGTATGAATTAAATACTTTGGCAGGTCAACACATACCCATTTTAATGTTTATTTCTTTATGGAAACAGATCCCAGAATTGAAAGAGGATATCAGTATCCCTGACTACTGCTGCCTGGGTGAAGGGGAAGAAGACGACATCACCATTAATGCTTGGTTTGGTCCAGAAGGCACTATCTCACCTCTTCATCAGGATCCCCAGCAAAACTTTTTAGCCCAGGTCTGTACTCTACATACTCTACACATGCCATTAATGCTATAGTTAGAAAAATTGCTTACTGTATGTAAGTGTCAGAGACAAGGGTAGCAAACAACTTGATGAACAATTGAAGGATAGAGGATATGCAGATATTATTTTGCTGTTCTATTGCATTTGTCACTACTGCAGTTTAATACTCAGTGTAATCTTGTAGGCCACAAGTGCTCCTCATTGAGATAGACCATTACTTACCCTCATTTTGCAGGTGATAAATAGAAATCACAAGCAGCAGATTTTCCAAGGTCACACAAGGAATTTGTAATGGAGTTGGGAAGAATCCACTGGATCCTGTCACAGTGTACAAAGGAAGTTCCTTTTCTGGAACAGCAAGATTTTGGGGTGGATTTAGGTACATACTTTAATCCACTTCAGGTTACCCAGTAAAATATCTACTCATGCATGCATTGAGTCAGATGAAGTAATATTTGCACTGTGACCTCATTGCTGCTGAGTGAGTGACTGTTGGTAGGCTTTTTCATGACAGCTTTCAGTGCAGAGTAACACAGTAAAAGGCTGGGGCCCTTTGTGGCCAAAGTCCAAAGATGTATTCCTGGTCCAAGCAGTTGACAGCTTCAAACACTGAGGGGTTTTTTGCTCACTGGAAGGAGATTGCTGTTTCTTCCTCTATCCCATCAGAATCTTTAAAAAAACCCCATGGCTTACACTTTCAGTCATTTTCCATCAGGGTCATGACATTGATTACTTTCTACTTGTGCTTATTTATGGGTTGAGCCTTAGTTCCTCTGTCCCAGACAGTTGCATCTTGCTAACATGTGTTTTCACTTAGAACAGGTTTAATTCAGGCCTTCCTAAAGTAGATTTTTACAATTGCTGTGCTATTATGCATGTATTGTATTTCTCTTCCCCACTAACCTGCCTGACACACACATCCGCACTCTGAAAGCAAAGTATCCTACTGTACACACTATGTAAAGCTTGAGGGGATTTTCTGGGGGTGGAAGTCCATTATAGGAGTTGTTGGACTGGGAAAAGATACTTCCCTTACAAACTTCAGAGCTTGTATTCTTCTGCCTGCAGAATGGGAGACTATCTGCCAGTGCTATAAAAGAGTCTTTGTAATTTGAACAGCAGGTGATCTGGCAGTTTTCAATTTTCAATTAAAACTGTCCTGCCGCTTGATGCCATTTAAGCTGTTGCTGTGGAGTACAAGAAGGCACAAGTACAAGTAACAAAGTGGAATGATCTCTACTGTCTGGGTGGTAGCTGCTGCAGAGATCATAGTATTTCCATTAATGAGGAAACCAGTATCTGAAGATGCAGGCTGTTGCCCATTAACTTGTGCATTCAACCTTGCAGTACAAGGCCTTAACCCGGCAAGGCAAGTGAAGAAAGGAGCTGTTAATAGCTCATGGCAGGCCAGGTAACACCCGCCTCCCATTCCTCCCCATCTCCCCCTGCCAGAAAAAAAAAAAAAAGGATTCAGAAAACATGCTGTTGGAGCAATAACCAACATTTCCTTTACCTCCATACATCACCAAAGATATCACTTAATACTTGGTTCTTTAGAGATCTAATTAGTATCCATAGACCTTTTGGAGAGTGGAATGCATCCTGAAAACACATGGACACTCATAGTTATTCAGATCAATGCTCTAGTAGTTTAACCATTGATAGTGAAGAGTAGGACGGAGTGGGAATACATGGACACTTGTCCAGCCTTTAGAATACGTTTATGTGCTGTCCTTGAAGCAGGCTACTTTAGGCATCTAGCATTACAACTCAGGTGTTGGTAAGATTTCAGGAAATCCTCTTCTATTATATGGGAAGGGATGTTAAGATAGAGGAAAAGCAGCTTGGTTAGGAATAGTTTGGTGGGATGCCAGTCCAGGGTAGTGTGTTAGAGTACTGACTTGCCCTTTAATATGATAGTTCCAAACAAATATGATCATGCCTGGCCCTTGAAATCTTGAATGCTGGCACAAGCAGCATGAATATTCACCCTCTGCCTGTTGTGGGCATTCCACTGGTATCAGTGCAGGAATCAGCTTTGACTCTTGTTTATTCTGACACTTCATTGTAGGCACCTACAACTTGCGATTCAGTGTAGTGTTCAGGTCAATCAGTCCACTAGCCTCATGAATTTTAGTCTTTCAATTAAGCACTCCCATGAAAGAACTGATTTAATGATGACACAGAAATAGGAGCTAAAGGGGTACATGGAAGCTTAGCAGTACATGGTATTCTGTGCAGGTACCTCTGCCTGCTGATGCGAACTGCACTGAAGACTCAACCTAATTATTCTCAGTTCTTCTACTTTCTAACTACGTGGAGCCCAAATAACACTGAATAAATTGGGTGCCTTAAACTTTGAATTTAAAGTGGTTTGGTTAAAGGCATTTCCTGGTATTTCAAATTCTTATCTGCTCCAAGGGAACTGGTACTTCAATCCCAATAATCTGATTTAACTTTTTATTATAGCAGTGTCTGTTTATTACTAACAAAGATAATGATGTTACTTGTAATCAGGTGTATTTTACTGCTAAGTGCCAGCTATGGCCCATAGTTTCCAGTAATGTGCAGGCTAATGACAAATGGAAAATATTTATTATAATATATGCAGGTATTTGGAAGAAAGTATATCCGTCTATATTCGCCACAAGATTCAGAAAACCTGTACCCACATGAAAGCCAAATTCTTCACAACACTAGTCAGGTAAATAGTTGCCTGAAATTTTAATATCAGTAATGTTACTTTATGAAATCATATTTGAGTAAAGACATTCTACTGATGATTGTTTTGGTTTTTTTATAGGTTGATGTGGAAGACCCTGACTTAGTCAAGTTTCCCAATTTCAGAAAGGCCGCGTTTCAGTCCTGTATTCTGATGCCTGGACAGGTTCTGTTTATTCCAGTTAAATATTGGCACTATGTAAAATCGCTTGATATCAGCTTCTCAGTCAGTTTCTGGTGGTCATAGCTCCAAAGCATGCATGAAGTCTGTTAGCATTGTAATAGGAAATCAAAATCAGAAAAAGTAGCATCTGGCATCTCCTCACAAGAGAATTATTTTTAAGCCTGAGGATGTTCTTCCCTCTCCGGAAGTCAGAAGTGGATTAAAACCAGAAACCAACAAACTCTTTGTTTCAGCATGGTGAAGAAATCGGGATGGGCAAATGGAAAGAAGATGCTACAGCCACTTTATTTTTGTGGATATTTCTCATATGAACTCCTCACAAAGGGCATCTGTTAGGTCATCATCTTGTATGCCTGTGTACATCTGAAATGGGTCTATATATCAGCACTGCCAGGACTCTGCTTCAAACTATATTTGGAACATCAGGTTAGTGTTATCTTCTACTTGGACTTAATAACAGTAAAAATTGGAGTTATATAAACAGTGAGGGATGGTGCCACCCTAAGGTTCAATACGTTAAAAAAAAAAAAAAAAGCTAACACAAAGAAAGATACCAATCTCCTATAAGCAAAAAGTTACTAGTGTTAAGGCCTAGGAACATAATTGTAGTTAATCCATATTTTAATTGCAGTTAAATAAACTGAAGCTTAATCATACTTTGATTAACCATCAGCTGAACTGCAGACACTCTGCCTTCTGCAGTGTCACACGTTTCTACAAAGGAAAAGATATGCTGCCATTCCATTCTGGTACCTGGCAATATCTAGTCCTTGTCTTTTTTCCAAGTCACTCTTAAAGGAAGAAGCATCATTACATAAAACTGGAGAGTGAGGTGTTAGTACTAAAAACTAAAAGAATCCTAGGATGACAACTTTTTCAACACTTTGCAGACATAAGCTGGTACTGCCCCAAAAGTTTTGTTCTACTCCTTCCCAATCATTTTGATTGCGGGAATATTCCCTCTCTTACGGAGCATAGCTGCTCATGACCTGGCCTTATGGCAGATGACCTTTTCTGTGTCTAAAGGTAAAAAACAAGCAAGGGTACTAACTGAAAGTGTTCGCCAGTCTTCTCAGAGAGGAAACTGCAAGTGCTACATTGTTTTTTCACCTACTTGAAGCCCTGTGGTGCTAGTAACAGGTTTCACTTTCGTTTGTGCAGCTGAAGCTGTACAAATAAGGAACGCTGTTGCTGAGAAAGGCTTCTTTTAATAGTTCACCTGCATTGATCAGCTTCCAGGACTGACAAAACATTTGCATCTTTCATTCCCAAACACACACTGTGAGTCCCAATCCAAGAATATGGAGAACTACGAAACCAAAACAGCTTCTGAGAAAGCTGTGAAGGAGAACAGGAAGGTCAATGATAGTTTTATTGTAAGGTTTATAAAACTTCAGGAAAAAATAAGTACACTGAACAGTGCACTGTTACTAACGAATACAATACAGTCTGGCTATTTTACAAGAGTGGGGAAAAAAGATTTCACTGAAAACAAGTTTTACTAGCATCGTCTAGTGCTGAGACTGAAGCTCTTCTCTGCCCTTCCTGTTTTTGATGATGACGGGCAGTCTATTCGACGCATACCTGTAAAGAAAACAAAAGAAAGGTTAATGAATGGCACACAAAAAAAGCGTGATATTGTATAACCTCTGTATTTTTAAAATGCTTTATGGAGTCCTGTGTTCCTGTTCAGAACATGCAATTTCCCTGACTGAATAGAGGAATTCTGAAAAGATTGTGCTCTTAGAAGCTCAGTATTTCCAGAAGTTTTAGTGTTGTGTTGTGTCTGTCCCCTAGTCCCCGTACACCCACCTCACCACAATCTCCACACTTTAATGTTGTTAGAAACAATATGCACAGGATCTGCTAGTGACCATAAGGCATAATCCTTGCACTTTCAGGGCTCGGTGTCGCCCATATATGGTTTACTGTCTGAAACATACAGCTGAGGTCAGAAATAACTGACATTCAACTACAGTTAATAATGCAGGCAGTGCCACTGACTATAACAGTCCATTCTCTAGTATTATTACACTCAATTTTTTTTTAAATAGATTGCTTGGTACCTGGAATGTCACAAGACCAGAAAGCATTACACTGGGGACAGCGTGGTTCACTCTGGTCTCTAAAGTACTTTCTGACACAAGGTAAATGCATTCCAATTCCACAGGATTCACATACTTGGCTCTGAAATCAGAAGTGTTGATTAAAAAAAAAATACGTTTCTAACCTATTCTTCAGTTTAATATAAAATTATTACAAAGGGTGGCAGATATGCAATGCTTTATTCCAAAGAATGGTTCACACGATACAGTTGGAGGATACTCAAAAGTCAAAGCTGGGAAATGATAAAAGGAGGTATTTTCCTGGAAACTAGAAAATACCATCTTCCTGTAAGGCCAAAATTTAGCTTGAAAGACAAATAACACTGAGCTATTCGGGTACAATAAAGGGGACCAACTGAGATGAAAAAAAGTAACATGGAAGCATGTTAGTTGGGAAGGTGAGAAGATGCAGGGTCAAGGAGAAAGACTGCAGCAGTTTTTGGAAAAGGACTTCAGGCTTTAACAACTGATGCAAGACTAAACTGGTAACGTACTATCGAAATATAGTGCTTTAGCATGCTATATGTAAGCATATAAGTTCATTCTGAAGACCAAGACACAAGCAATTCCTGAACCAAAATCCCAGGACCAATGATGAACGTGTGTCACACGAAGACTGCTGGTTTTAAGGTCCAAAGATAAGCTAGCTAACACTTAACTGTTTTGTGTATTCAAGGATAAGGGGTTCATCTCTAGCCTGCTGGCTTTTGAAAGCAAGACAGCACCATAACGTTCCTCACTGGGTGAGCTCAATTTCTCCAAGTTTATACTTGGGGATATTGCTCCAAGACAAGTTTTTTTTCCAAAGACACAAGATAAAATACCTACACTGAAAAAAAAAAAAAAAACAAAAACAAAAGGGATTTTCTTTATGTACATGAGCACCATTACCAAATTACAAGACCACAATTTTTTAGTGCCTGCCTAACACTCAAAGGTATCACAAACTTCATCTGTGACCACGTAAGTACACTGTCAGATGCCTACTGAGCTAATAAAACAAATGTTACCTGGATGGCAAGGCTGTGACAGATATTACACTTCCTGGCCGTATCTTGATAGTTGCTGAGAATATATTGTTCCATCTCAATTATGCAACGAGTATGCAGCGTATATTCTCCATTTCTCTAAGGAAACAAGTGACAAGACAAGGAATTTCTTTTAATTCCTTTTACCTTTTTTTGATGTTTCTAACCACCTGCTAGCAAGCATTTGATTCACTTTTTTTTGTCATTGTGAAGCTAACATGCTGACACTGACATAATGCAAAGCCAAAATACTTTTGAAGTAGCGTAGTTCATTTGTTGAGAGGATCAGAACAAAGTTCTCACACCTTTAACAGAGACCTAGTCTTTGGAAGGTACAGATGAGCAAGCATGTCCTCCTTAACAAAGACATGCAGTTTGGGGATCCTCCATTTGTACATTAGTGGACATGGCTTTCAGCAAAATCTAGGCATTTACTGCTTGACGTATCTTTGAAAATCTCTGCCAAATCGCTCTAACATAAGTAAATGTGTGGCAGCAGGTTGAAATCTATAGGGACTGAGGTCTCACTTGTCTTGCCAAGCAACTGTAGTGTCCATATGGTAAGCTAATCTCAATTTCTCCCTCATGCAGTAAAAGAGATTTAAAAACATACACAATGGCCCATGCATTTCTGGTACAGGAATTTTCAACATGTTTGGCCTCACTGCTTTTCAGTATATTCTGAATGTAAGTAACAGCACTGGTCAATCTGAGGAGCTTTCCCAAGTTCTTGTTTCGAGTTTAAGTATGCCATGCTGTTGTGTCCAAAGGATGTCTGTATGTTGCAGTGCGGGGCTGTATACATATACCCGCCTATCTCAGGTACAAAAAACTGAAACCACATTGTCCTTTATAGACCTACCCTACAACTTTTTCCTTGTAAATGTACTACCTTTTTCTGTAAAAATCACTGGAGCAGCAATAAACACAGGCCCCACATAACCACTTTTGCCATCATTCATTAAAGAACAGCTCCAGTTTCAGCCATCACATCCATAAGAAAATAATAGCTGCACCTATTGAAATATGAGCAATTGAAAAAATACAGCAGTTACCTCAGAAAGCCACTTATCCTCCACAAAAACTTTCAGCACTTGTTCCGCTTCCTTTTTCTTCATTTTCTTTGTCTTAAGTTGGTCAGCCAAGTTTAAAATATCTGTAGAAGAGGCAAAGCCATTTTCTGATATCACAATTAGGTCCATCTACAAAAAGAAACATTTTCAACTATTAAAAACCCCATGCAATTAAATAGACACACCTTGTATTAATGTACAGCTTTTTTAGCATCCATACATGAGACATACTACAGTATATGGCTTGAACCAGAACTGTAAAACAAAGGCCAAAAGCTGCAACGATCATTGTTATGGTTTTACTCTTTGCCAAGAAAACATTTCCACAAATACAGTGCTGCTTAAATGAAGCTGCAGTCAGGGACCCTTGAGCATACTGAGGAGTGACAGATCTACTGCTTTTTATCTGCTCTTTGTCAAGGTTCTGATGAGGAAAAATCTCTCACTACTAAAGTTTGTCCACTCTGGAGTCATTAGTACTGCTGAACCTACCTGACACTTGAAGGCTGTAGCAGCATTACCAGTCTTCAGAGAATCTCTCATTGGAAACATGCCTGCTGCTCATAATCACAGAGCAGCAAGCACAGTTTTTATGCCAGTAGTAATGTGCGCCAGGACAATGCCATCTCTGCATTGCTGACATAACTGTATAGGTGCCTCACCAATAATGGGGCAGGTAAATCTCTGGGTACTATCCATGTATAGACTTTTTTCCAGACTTTTGCAGCTACCACAGAAGAGTCAATACACATCTCCAGTTTATACAGAAATTTTTGTTTTAATGAGTGTGCAAAAAAATTCTTAAAAGTCTAGTGGAAAAATGAAGTCCTCAAAGTTCAAGAAACTATGAGAACAATTCACTAAAACATGCAAGATACATAGCTATGATCACAACTCACATTAGTGGTTGTTGACAAGAAATTGGACATAAAATGTCCTGAAATCTCAGCCCAATAGCTATATCTGGAACTTTAAAAAATTCTCAAGCGTACGTTTCCTTGTTTAAAAAGCAGCATTCTGACTAGTTTATTAAACACGGTATTCACTGGCTAAGCAATAACAATAGACAAATGTTTCTATTCAAAGCAGGAAATCCAACTTGTATGTTGTTGGCATTAAAAACTACTGTGTATTACTAGACTACTGAAGCCAGTGAAAAATTCAGCAATCGCAACTGAAAATCCTGAAGAAATGTATTTAACTAAAAGCAGCTGTGTCAAGTCACTGACTCAAAGGAGCACTCCCCTATTGCTGATTTCAATTTACCAGTAACTGAATATCAACAGGAAATCAATACTTGCATATACTTTCATCCCTGCTCCCCCCCATTCAATTTGGGATAAACTTGGGTAAGACGGCAACTAGTTCCAGAACCACATCTCCATTCATTTTCATTTCCACTCATTTTAAGATGGTACCTTCATAAATAATGTGATTTACTAATTAATGACATACTTACTGTTTTTCTGAACAATTCTAATTCATTTTCTGCATAGTCAGATGCCATTTTAGTTATTTCAGTTTCTGTCAAATTCACCTACAAAAAAAACAATACTTAAACTGTGTTCAATGTGCCTTTGTATTTCTACACTGTAAGTTATAAAAGATCCTCTGGCATAAAGAATACATCATCTACAATTAACAGAAATATAATTTCTTTAAGTGGCATGAGAGAGGCTGGTCCTTAAAGATGACACTCAATGCTACTTAAGTCCTTTCTTTACAAGCCCTGATCATCCAGCCACAGGTTCTCCACAGCTGCCTCTGCCCAGGCCAAGCTCCTAAACAACCCAACCTTCCTGCTATAGACCTAATACAGAGTATTAGCTCTATATAGTAGAACTGATATATTACACCAGGATACTGTGTTGGACAGTAGCAGTAACCGTGTTGTAATGTGCATTTTTGCTTCTCTATGAAAAACAGTTATTGCTATTTCATATTCTTATTGCACATGCTACTGCTACTTATTATTAGCTCAACTTAACTAGCAAAATAACCCAGAAAAGTTAAAAGCAGCAGCTAATGTTAGAATACCTCCTGTACAGTCTTTTGAAATTACTATATAACCTTCCCTCTCTGACATGCATATTGCAGAGCATATAAGGAAACTTTTTATAGACCATTCCTTAGCAACCCCTTTTATGCTAGGTTGATTTTTGAGCAAGAGAAAAAGAAAACTAATGGAGGGTTCTCCATGGTTTCTAGTTTAAAAACTCATCTTGAAAAAGAAAGTATCCTGTGAAGAAGAAATCTCACCTCAGCACTTAAACAATGTTTATGCTAAATAAACCAGACACTGCTGTAGTCCTTGCTGGCACATTCCATTTCCACGCACCTAGGCTGTTGGCAGTTTATTCTCCCACTTCCCTGTTCTACAAGCAGCTTCTACAGCAGCTGCCAGCGTAACTGTGGAACAGCCCCACATAAACCACGCGATGGCAGCACATCACATACTTACTAAAGCATAATGTGCTCTCCCGTCACTTTCCGACATTCCTTTCCGGATCTGCATAAACAACGGCTGTAGATGGCTGTTAATAGTACTGATGAAATCATCTAGTTTATCATGCGCATAGTAGACTGAAAATAAATAAGAAAAAGCACATCTGTCAGATCTTTTTATGTTTTATCTGCTGAAATATTTTTTTCCTATGTGAAAGTTAGAAGTGAGGGAGAATTCAAACAGGTCTGTTATATTCAGCAGATGCATCATTTTCTTGTGCTGCTGACTCCTAGCTCTCAGAGAAGCTCAGCTACTTGAAAGTCAAGAGTTTAGAGAGTCCAGACATTCTGCCTCGCTGTTTGGAACCCGCCACATTAATTCACTAATTACAGTGACTTGAACTAAGTTCCACTGAAAATAAAACATGACCAGGAAGAATTATTATGCACAATACAAACAATATACTTGCTTTCTTTCATTTACATACAAGAGATTCCTTGGTTTTTTTGTGTTTCACAAATTAATGGCATGTAAATGATCAAGTTACATACCAGAAAACTTAAAATTCTAGTGCTGTAGAAATACAGGTAACATCTTGTGTCATGTTCTACAAACAAATTAAATACTAGCAGAAGTTCTACCAGAGATGTAATGAAGATGGACTTTGGAACAACCATGCTGCAGAAGCACATGCTACGGCTTTTGCGTGCACAGCAACAGCACGTGGCCACAAGAGTTTCCATCCACAACAGAATTGCGTCAGTGGCAAAACTGTTGACTTCAGCAGGCTAGGGTTTAAAAAACAGAGTTAAGTAACAGCTCATAACTTCAGAAAAATTATTGGTGTCTCAAAAATACTACCAGTTATCACTAACATAATACTATTCTCAGTCATAAGAGTCTACCACTTGTGTAACAGCATCAGACAGAGCTCCTCCTCTCAAAACCTCACTACAGAGCATAGTACAATGCAAAAACATCAGCCACAGGATGCTCTTGCCCAGAAAGTTCATGATTCTGATCTATAAGACTCCTTAAGTGAACAAAACCGACAAAGAGCAAGAACAATAATTAAGTATAATATTAAAGTGCAATTTTGTCAAATTGTCATGCCACCTGCCTGGCACCTGTCAGCAGGAAACACTCTGCATACATCAAAGCCAGGGAGCATTGCTGACAGATCCGAAAGAGGGTAAAATGAAAGATAACAGAAGAATATTCTTTTGTACAACAGCTGTAGCATTTTAATGTGAGATGAATGGCTGCTCTAGTAGATCTTCTGTCAAAAAAGGAGGGGTATAAACTCTCCATGAAACATGAATGGGGGACAGACCACACCAAAAGCTGTACTTAATCATTTTAACATCTAAAAAGTTGTTCAATTTACAATTCCAGACTCAGGAGAAACGATAAATGCCCTTTACTATTTGCAAAAGCTTATAACTTACCTCTACGGAACAGTTCTTGTACAGACAGCCATAGCAACTGACTGGACAGAAACTGTTTATTCAAATACATTACTACTGAAAACAAGCTATTTACTGTCAACAGTTTTGATGAGAAATCAGACAAACTAATGTGATCTTCATTCAGTAAGTATTATTCTGACTATGCATGTACTGGAATCTCTTTGTCGTTTTTTTCTTCTGATAAAATATCTCAGAGGTGACAATACTACTTTGAAAGACTGTGTTAAAGAAGACCTTGTTGTAACATGAGTATGTTAGATGCATACTAGAGCCAGGACTACCCTACTACTAAAACACTGCATTAAATTGTTTGAAAAATCTTAATTTCCAAAAACTTCCCCTGTTATAATGTAGCATCTTATTAAAAAAAAAACAAAAAAACCCAAAACAAAACTACAACTTAGTTACATTTGTTCTAAGTTATTTTTTGTAACAAATGAATTATTTCCTTTTCTCGGGCATAAAATGCAATCCCAACTAATACTGTAGCACAGATGTGCTTATTGTAATCTGTTTTCAGAACTAGTAATTCACTGTCTACATGAAAATGCCTCATTTGAGGAGCCATGTTTTCTTTTCCTAGTTCTGACACATTTGATAAAGCAAAATATCAAAACAACAGTACAGTGGATTTTGCTGTTGTTTTGCCATGCAAACACTTCTCTGATAAAACAGATGGTCAACTGCACATTCCACCACAGATAAGAAAAATTCCCCTAAACTCTAGCTGAACTTTGCAGACAATATAAAAGCATAATAAGCACACTGTGTCACACACAGGGTCAGTTGCTGTGGCTTTTCCTAGAATACTAAGTACTAAAAGGCATACAAAACATGTAAAACAAAAATGCTTGTCTATTCTATGAATCCCTGTTTCTCATGTATGATTTATTTATTGGGTCTTTCAATGGCCAATGAAATGTATTATGCTTAAGAAATTGGTATGACTGCGGACTAAGGTTGACATTAACAGTTACTTTGTTCTGAGTCCAGCTACCAGGCCAGTTAAATAAAATACAAAACATACTTAGTCAAAATCCAGTCTGATACAATCCATGTTAATGAACAGTTATTCAATACACTCCTTCTGTACATCCAAACAGGCAGGGAAGAAACAGTTTTCTCTCATTCTTCCGTTTTTCTAAGCATCCTTTTATATATGGACTGTATCAGCCATTTTTCTAATGAACTCCACTGTAATTTAATATACAGCTACATTTTTTAATGAATTTTACAAATATTACCTAATATTGTCCTTCAGTAAATATGGCCATTGGTTTGAGAGGCAACCCGATTTTGTCCCTCAAAATTATCCTTAGGTTTATCAAAAATATAGCAAAAGAAAATATACCTGTGTTTTCTGTTAATCTTCTGGCCTTGAAGAATGTGGCAAAGAAAACACCTGTGAATGACCATGTCTTTGGAAAATAAAATGCTGGTCACGAAAATGCCTAATAGTGTTATAGTCAAATATTTGTCAAATGAAGATGTGCTGAATCCAAGAAAATACAGATAAAGTTGGAAATCTATGAAGGGATAGAGAGCACATAAATCTCAATACTTATTCCATGATCTGTTAAAAAACAAAGAAAAAATCACGCTGTTACAGAAAGAAATGCATTTTCCAGGGGCGTGGCACCATCTTTCCAGCTTTACTATTTAGAGTAGTATAAACCCAGAGCTTCAGTTATTAAAGAACTTCAGCTGGCTTCAAAGACAGCAGGAAAAATAACTACACACTCTCCTATTTTTACTGTTTACGGCTTTCAGGCGGGTGTCAGGGTCAGAGTAATATTCTACATGTCCTCCTTCCACAGTGTCTTGTAAAGGGACCCAACAATAGCCAACTCAGACACTACCATCTCCCTGACTACACAAAGGAAAAGCCAGCTTGCACCCACAGACAGCACACAAAGCCATCCCAGAAAGGACACCAAGAATGTCATGGTACCTTAACTATTATATAATGCTAGAGATCTGCAAGATGTCTTTTAACTTTGCACTGTTTGTACTATAATGTGTTTCATAACTGGAGAAGCCACAACACAATGCAGACATATACAGCATGCATTAAGGGATTCCAGTAAAAAAGTATTAGCAATTATAATAACCTTCCTCAACAAGCCTGCAATTTGTATTCTAACTGATTGTGCAATTTCTAGTGGTACTACACAGCACTTTGATAGATGTTTGGAGCTTTTCCTTCAGACCTCTGTGCAGATTTTTAGCATAGACACTTGTCTGCTAACAGGAAGCAAGCAGGTGATACACAGAAAAATAAGAAGGTGTCTTGTGGCTAAAAAGCTTCAGATTTTGAAATAAACCGGAAGAGAATGTGCCAAACAACCAGGAGGGAAAGTTTTCAGATCGCTTTGCTCAGAAGGTGCACAAGCTGATTATTATATGACTTGACATCATTTGACACAGCTTTTTTATCCTCTTGTATTTAAGGAAACCAATGTCATAGATAGGAGACAGACTTGTTATGTAATGCTTACAACCTGCAGGAGAAAGAAATTAATTCAAATAAGCTAGTTGTAGTAAAATCAGCTCTGATCTGAATTGAAAAATACTGTTCAGATTGCACTAAACAGTATTAAGATGTATTTGAAAAAACTACATCAAAATCAGAATGTTATCTAGAAACAGCCCAGTCAGACTGAGCTTCCTCATCAAAATGCTATTACCATGATCTCGTAAATTGTGATACTGCTAACTTTGACCCTAACACTGAAAGGTTTGTCAAATCACTGGTTCTTTTGTTCATAAAACAAATGTGGGGGGGAAATGTTCCATTCAATGAGTCAATTTCAATATCCTTTTGCCTCCCAATGTGACAGAAAGCTTTCCTAGGTAGAGCATTTAATAAAACTGTAACAGTTCGAACTCCCACACTGTATCTGTGTAATTTCACAAACTTTTCCATTGCACATCAACTGTCACTACACAGGAAAAATATCAAGTACTTGGTAGGCAGCAGTTGCAATGGTGCCATTTTTTTCTAAATCGTTCTATTAAATAAACCTTCCTAGAGAATAACTCTGTCAGCTCCTACTGCAGTACAGCTCACTGATCCTGCATACTGAAAATACAATCTAGCCGTAAAGTTTTTTTCCTAGGGTTCTTTGTTCTTAACACACAATAAACTCATAGCCATGCTATTGGCTTAGGCCATCTCTAGCATTTATGATAAATTCTTTTACAAATCACAGTGGCTTGGTTCTCATAGGAGTAAACCTGTAAAAAGCAACATTATTTTTCCACGCTTACATTTTTTCAGTCAGAAATTTGGGCAAGTGCTGAAATAAACTCCTTCGGCTCAGGAGAGTTTGAAAACCTATGGATTCTGTTTGACTACTTTTAAGGAAAACACACAAATAGTGCTGTCGCCCAGAAGGGACTCCACTTGTGGCAACAAAGCAAGATGCAGTTAATAACAGGTTGTGCACATCAGTGACTACAGTCTTCTCTCTTAACAGAGAGAAAGATCAGTTAGCAATGGTGATGCTAAAGTTATCATCCCAGCTAGCCAGCAGCAACTGAATAGTTCAGTTCCCCTGCAGTTACTGGTTCAGCTCTCAGATGTACATAGATATCCTGAACCGATTAAACCCCTCCAGTAACTGTTAAGGCTTTTATCTTTAAAGTCATAAATACTAGAGAACTAGAAAATATCTGGAGACATATATTCAGTGCATATTAGATCTCAGAATGTGTAATTTAAACAACATTTACTGGAGTTATCTGCCTTTCAATAGTAATGGTTTAAACATCAATAGTTTAATTTGAACAGGATTTGGGTGCTTCCTTCTAAATGGAACTTTTTGCTTTTACACATTCCTTTTCAATTCTGTTCATAAATAAGGAAAAGATGAAAATAGAAAAATTTCATCCTTTCACTCTTTCCTGGGAACCAGCAACTGACACATCTAATACCTAGTGATTAATTCATGCTAAACACATTACAACTTTATTTCAGTCTGTGCCCACCACATTTTCAAAATTAGTGAAGATGAAATACAGATGTCTGATCTGTAAGTATACCTCTGAAAAAAATCCTTATTGTTTACACATTTCTGCACTATTTAAGATTGAACATGAATTTCAAACAGATTTGAAAATATATAACCAAATTTTTATTACACGTGCCATAAAATTCAGCTTGATATAGCATATATTAAAACTAAGCAGCTGACCATGTAATTGGTCAGACATGACAGATTTTCTCAAGATGGATAACAGCATACACTTCATACTATATTCCAAAGGAAATCTTTCCAAACAAGTATGAAGGAAAACATTCTTGAAATTTCAGCACTATCAGTGTCAAAAAATAATTTAAAAAAAAAATGTATAACCCATAAAAAACATCTTTGCTAAAATAAAGTGCTCTGTATGAGTGTGATCCAATTAAAACTTAAGTTTCCTCATTGCTGTGTTATTTTATCTTTTAGGAAAGAGAGAGAACACTGTCTTGGTTTGGGCTGAAACAGAGTTAACATTCCTTTTCAGGGGCTAGATGAGTGCTGTGGTTTGGATTTAGCTTTGGGTTTGGTAGAAGAATGCTGACAGCACACTGGTGTTTTCAGCTGCTACCGAGACTTCAAGGACTCTCCTACTCCCCCTGTCCTGCCCGTGCGCAAGGGCACAGGGAGCAGGGAGGGGGCACGGCCACAGCACCTGACCCACACTGGGCAATGAAATATTCCAGATCATGGCACGTCATGCTCCCTGTATGGAGGAGGGGTGGTGGGGAAGGAGCTCTCTCTCTCGTTTCCAGGATTGCGACTGCAGGATCTTGGTATCTCGGGGTCGCTGGCCGGGAACGGGCTGGGGGTTGGTCAGCGAGTGGGGAGCAATTACGCTGGACATTGCCTGGTTATATGTTTCTTTTTGTTTTCCCCCCATCATCGTCATTGTTCTCATTTCATTGCCATTATTAAACTGTTCTTATCTCAGCCTTCGAGTCTGCCTTCCCCCCTCTAATGCCCTCCCCCATTCCCAGGTGGGGAGGGGGAAGGGAGGGTGACCAGCTGTGGGGTTGGTTGCTGACCAGGCCCAAACCATGACAAACACTCACATCATTAAAGTATTTTAACTTTTTTTTGGATGATATATGATTTTCAGAAATCTATTTATTTGTAAGCTCCGCTGAAGAGGGTCCCAATACGGAGAGTGGCCCGAGTAACGACAATCACCCCGATGCGGCTACATGTCGTCCCCCTCTATTGCCCGAATCGCTGGGTTATATCCTTTGCACAGCAAGCACCCGCTGTTCACGCGCCCCATACCCCTTGATTATTGGTCATAAGCAACTTATCACACACCCAAAGGGAAACTGTGATAGGCAAGCATCTTGCGGTTTGCTGCCTACTTGTGCTTAGCTTGGCCAGATACATAGCTGGGAAAATTCCTCATTAACAGATACAGTTCCTCACAACACAGCCCTTCAAGGTCATCCTCATAACACAGGTGTTGTTAGCAGTCTGATCTCAGGCCTGGATTGTCCAAACCTTGCAACAAAATATGGTAGCCATTCTCTGTCAGAAATTCTACTACACTCCACCAGGAAAAAAAAAACAAAACAGTTCTTCCACCTCCCTACTTTTACTTTAAAAGAGACACACACCTTTATGGATTTCACAGCAGCACCTATGTAATTTCCTAGCCTCTGATCCTTCCATTATCCCATGAGACATCAGGACCTGCAAGAACCGTCGATGAGCATCAGTCATCTGAGCTGCCATCGCAATATTCCACCAAGCTTCAAGTGCTGCAAGAGGTGTAAACTGGAATTAATGCACATGTTCACACTAATTAGAAATACACAGTCCAAGCATATGCAAGATGCCAAGTACACTGAACTGAGGCAAAAAAGCAGATCCTCCAGGTTGTTCTCAGAATACAGATGGTGACTAACTCCAAGATTCTAGAAGGATGTAAAGCATAAAGTCCAACTAATTTTAGCTACCAAATAAAACAACATAGGCATTGTGCTATCATACCCCCAAACTGAAAATAGTAGCGTTGTATGTGTAACAATCAACAGAACACCTTGAATAGTTTTGTGTTAAACACTTCTGCTTACTACATATCCTAATAACTTGTCTAACTAGAGTGTAACTTACTTTGGACAGAAAATTCTCCTCTAAATGTTCTGAAGAGCATTAGAACTAAATAAAAGCATCTCAAGAAATTCCTTAACTGGATAATAGCCAAATAATCGCTGTCAGTTCACAGGGAAAAAGAAGCTTCGCAACTTCCAGACTCCTCCAAGCCAAAGGACCAAATAACGGACCAAACTGAGATGTGCTGGTGTGCGCTGAGATTTTTAGTCTTGCACTTCCCTTCTGCCCTGGCACAGGGACGGTCTCTGACCAGCAGCACCGAGTGGGTAAACACGCTGCCCTTCCCCGCGCCCACCACCGACCCCAGAGCCCGAGCGGACCCCGGGCTGCCGCTGCGCGGGACATGCCGAAACGGCCAACGCTGTTGAGACTGAAGCGTGCTGGAAGCTGCTCAGGGGAAAACGAGGAGCAGCTCCGCCGTCAGTTTTCTTCATTCGTGGCAGCTTTCCCCCTCAAGCAGATTCACAGAGCGACCGCCAGCCGCCAGCCGAGCTTCGGCCTGCCCCGCCCGCTCGGCCTGGGGCCTGGGGCCTGCCGCCAGCCGCAGCCCACCGGGGAATCCGCGGGCAACTGTCCGTGAACCCGCCCCGTCCCCGCCCCTACTGCCCGCCGCCCCCCCGCCGAGCCCCCACCCGACCCCGACCCCGACCCCGACCCCGACCCCGACCCCGACCCCGACCCCGACCCCGCCCGCTCGGGCGCCCGCCCGCTCCCCGGGGCCACCTCACCCGCCGGCCTCCCGCGCCGCTGCTCCCCGCGCGCGGCAGCTCGGTGATCGCTGCGACGGCCTGCCATCGATCGCCTCGGCAGCAGGCGGAGCCAGGCAGTGCCCGCCCCTCGCCACAGCAGCCGCGCCTCCCCGTGCCGGGAACTCCCGCTCCTGGTTCGCACCGTCCCGGGGTGCCGGGCCGGGGCCGGGGCCGAGTGGGGTGCTGGGCCCGGTCCCGGGCCCTCCCTCGGCCGGGGCGGCGGCAGGGACCGGCGCTCCCCGCGGCTCCGGCGGAGGTGGGCCTGGCTGAGCCGCGCCCCCGCCGCCGCGGAAGGGCGCTGCCGGGGCGGGGCTCCCCGCGGCTCCGGCCGTTCGTGCCGCCATCGTCCTGCGGAGCGCCCCGGTGTTGCGGCGGCTCCTCCCGCCGCGGTAGCGGGGCCCCACCTGCCCACGATCCCGGCGCGGCTCAGAGCCGCTGTCGCCGCCAGGGAAGCGCTTCGCGGCCGGGCAGAGGACGCGGGTCCGGGGAGCGCGGCGCCCGTGTCGGGGCGGACCCGGAGGTGCCGCGGGGCCGAGGCCGAGGCCGCGGCCGCACCGGCCCGGGCGGGGGATCGCACCGCGCCGCTCCGACCGGGAGCCGACCAGGTGAGGTACCTCCGGCGGCTCCCCCTTCCCGATCGGCGCGGCGACGCTCTCCCTTTCGTTAACTGTGTCTGGAGCCGCGTTGGTACGGTGCGTGCTTCGCGGCTACCGCGCTGTCTGCCGCTCTCCTCGCCCGTGCTGGAAAGGAGCTCGCTTCGCCGCGCCGCCGGCCGCGATGCGGCGGCCACCCCGGCGGGCGGGCGCCAGCCCGAGCTGGCCCGGGGAGGCGCCGGGCTTGCGCTGTCGTGCCGGGTGGGCCGGTGGTGGCCCGGGCCGGGCCGGGCAGAACTCCTGTTGCGGCTCTGAAAAGGCCCTCGGCTCTGCGGGAGTCCGGGGCGGCCTTTGCCAGTGGGGCGGGAGGCCTTGGGGCCCCCCAGGCGCTGCGGCGGCTCCTCGCAGGACGGGGCGGGACGCGGCTGGAGCCCGCCGGCCAGTAAAAGCGTTGTTGTTGACAGAAGTTAAATAACCTCCTTCATTGAGGTTATTTAACTCACGCGCTCCTCTTGAACTAATTTAAGACAAAATTGGTATAGTTCCCAGAAATTTCCTTTCTGCTGGAAATGCTGCCTGATGGGTTCAGGAAGTGTGAGACCTCTTACTGCACTCGCTTCTAAAAGCTGTGTTAGCCAGGACCCGTGCTGCATGATCAGAGACTTCACCATGCTGAACTTGCTCTGAACTGCAGAGCTGTTGGTGAATCTCGGGTTTCATTCTTTAGAAATTACCCTCAGCGCGTATGGACTAAGAGAACTTATGACCAATTTACACTAAACTCTCAGAACCAGGGGGTCAGAAATGTAGGATCAGAAGTGAGCTGTTCTAGTCATTTTAGTCTAGATGGTTTGTATTTTTGGCATGTTTTTTCAACATGTCTGAATTCAACAGTTTCCATAGTTCCTGTCGGTTCTAAAGTAGAAAATATCCGGTTATCTTGCTGTTTGCATGCTATGATTTGCACTTTGACAAATTACATGAAAGTACTGTATTCCTTGTAGGCCCAAATGACATGTTGTTATGCCCTTTGCTGACTTCTGTCATCTCAATATGAAAATATGTTGGAATGCAGAAACCTCAGTTGAATTCGTAAATAAAAATTGTCTAGTTTCAAGTTATTTAAAGGGTGCTCACGTGCTCATGTTGAGAGGCCCTTTTCATATTTGAGAGTTTATCCAGATGTGCCCTGTCCTGCTCCAAAGTGCAGATATCATTTGTATGTCGTATAAAATTACATTAATGTAAGTATCCCAAACTAGATGAAAGAATTTGTGGAATAAGGATGACATTAAAATATCAATAGAATCGCTCATTTAAAAAGAATAAAAAAGGGTGTCTTTGTCCTTTTAAATTTATCATTTTGAAGTTAAATTACTTCTTTAAGCAATCATACAGTGATGCAGGAAATACTGTGTTAGATGAGCAGTAATATCTGTATTATGCCCTTTAAGAGAAAGAATGGGACAAAGCCTCCCCACTAAAGATTCTGTAATCTAAGGACCTGGGCATGGATTTGAGTTTCTGCTTACCCAAGGGTTTACACTGTAATAGTCTCAGCAAGAAGAGATTACATTAATACAATTTTGTATTAGTTGAACGGCAAAGAACCATATGGGAATAGTTTACCATTCAGTTTAGAGAACACGAGGTGGGAACTATTGAATTGTATCATTTGGCCCTTCGTTGACCAAAGTTGCCATCCTTAATTAGTGGAATTTCTAAATATCTTCCAGTCTACCCTTTATCTTAAACCTCCGCTTTAATATAGTATACAGGACTCTCTTCTCAGCTTCTGAATTCTTGTGAAAACCTGCTTTATCTGAGACGCCTACACTTTTCACCATACACATAATTTGTGCGGTTGCCTCTGACAGTCACATTGCATGTCAAAGAGTAGGTGCTACTATTTATGTTCCTGTAGGTCTGCCATTTTGTATAGGCACTTAGGGGGGAAAAAAAAAAAATCCATTAAAAGCAGCAATAAACAAAGATGGAAATTACTTCCTAACTTTATTTTTAAATTTTGGTACAAAATCAGTTGATGAACCTTTGCTTTGCTATATGCTGCTTATCTCATTTTAGTCTGCAATTATGGCCATGTTGTAAACCAGAAAGAATAAGACAATACGTGCTTTAATTTTAAAAAGAGCCAGTTTAAAAATAGGGAGTGGTCTTTTACCTTTGCTGCAATTGTACAGGTATGCTAAGCAGTTTTATGTAGAAATTACTATTGCCTGTCTTTTGGGCATGAGTTACTCTTTGAGCATAACAGTTTTGCAAGTTATGCCTGTAGATTAAGTGTGACCCTAATTTATTTAGAAGCATGGACCAGAAGTTGTTACTGTTTTTCATGACAGCAAATTAAATCTTTTCAATCGTGTCTTTTTTTTTTTTTTTTTTTCCAAGAGACAGAAATGATTAATGATCAAAGCATATAACTTGTGCCAGTAATCACGTAGACCTGCTTCTTGCAGGTTTCTTTAATAGTTTTGGAGAAGTCTCTTATGACTTTTACACCTTACTTTCCCCAAATATATTGGGATTACTAGGTTTGCTGTGACTTTAGTATTCTCTGTATGTGTTAAATACTTTTTAAGATTGGTATTTCATTATCTGATATAAAGAAAAACCTAAGAGCTAACAGACAGGAAAGCAATTGCCATTTTAAAATTTTCACCCTTTGCACTAGATTTATAGTCCACTACTCTTATTTTTTTAAAAAAAAGCAGGAAAAAAAAGTTTGCAATTTAATTAGAGCTAGGGGTTAACTCCATTTTCATTAACATGTGCAGATTTTTTCCTCTATGGGGGAGATTTTTGCTCTGCCATCTGCTGATTCATATATGCTTACGTGACACAGGATTCTCTGCCAAAGTTGTAAGAGTTTCTTGGAACTTCAGTCATGCGACATTATTACTTAACAATGGGCTGGAAAGCAAACACTTCCTCTCTTGAGAATTCCAGGAAAAAGGAGGAAAAGAAGATTTTTTTTTTTTTTTTTTTTTTTTTTTTTTTAAATGCTGGAGCAGTTTGCTCCTGGTTTTTTTTTGTTTTTTGTTTTTTTGAGTAGCAGCAAAAGCATTTGTGTTCACTTAAAAAAATTTATTACTGTGCTCAGTCACATTTTATCTGTTCACAAAATGTGAAAAGCTCAGCTATTGAGTAATAGTTTTCTTGAGCATTTATGAGAAATTCATCTTTCAGATGTCCTTTATTACTCGAAGAGCAGTAACTACCTCAACAAGTCACAAAAGAGTTTTTAGTCTAATCTTCTATTTTCACTAACAGTGTTCTTATACCTTAACCTCTAAGATTGAAGTTTTCCATGTTTAATCTTTAGAAGCTTGGTTTAAAGAGTGGCCAATCATGCATGTGAGAATGGAACAAGTATGGTATTATTAAATGTGACTTCTGACAAGCGTAGAAACTTGAATTAGGCGGTAATTGCCTTGGAGCTGAATCTGATGTACCGAAGTAAAGATTGATCTAAGTAAAGTGCTAGTGCTTCTAAATATATAGAAAAAAAATTAAGATTCTATTTCTACATTTCACAATAGTTTGATTTATGCAGGTGTATTTATCAGTAAAATATGTGGTCATCTTTATAAAAAAAAAAGTTGTTTTTCTGTCCCTTACTCAGCTGAGAGAGTCTGGCTGTTGCCTAACTTGTGCTTATTCCTTTTGAATATTTAACAATAAATATTCAGCAGCTGTGCTTGAGAATCTTTCCAGTTTTAGAGAGGAGTTATTTGAGGGAATATGCGTTTGAGTCTGCACATCCTTAAATGTATACAGTGCCCACATGCATAATTTCAAAAGGTCGTTACATTTTTCCTAAACTAATCACGGAAGTTTATATCGCAGCAGAGTTGCTGCTCCCTCACCCGTTCCTTTTGTCTTGTGTGCCAGTGAAACTCAAATCTGTTAGAAGTGTCAGAGGTTGTTCTACTGCTGTAGTTGGAGCAGAGGGTATTGAACCACCATCAACAAATATGTTTCAGTGGTCTCTTCTGCTTCAAAATCTAACAAAACTTCTGCAGAAATCCCTGAGAAGTTCTCTCCTCTTTACTCAGTCACACAGAGAGAATCGTGAGGTTTTGAAATAAAAAACAACCCCCCACTTGGGAACTTCACAGATGTAAGCAGAGCAGATGTATCATGCAAGTAGTAAGAACACTGCATCCAGACTTGGAGATTAGAAAATACCAAGAGCATGAGAGGAAGGAATGAAAGGGTTGTGTATTAACAATGTGCTGCTGAACAGGTTTTATCTCTCTTCATACTGAATGCAAAGTTGTGGTTATTCCATGTTAATTAGCATGACTACCTACAAGTTTACCAAAATTTTAAATGCATCGTATACATTTCTAGTGATACGAAAGCTGGTAGCCATACCTAATCCAGAATATGATCATCTTTTATGTGGCCACGTTGCATCTGCAAAAGAATCTTGGGGAAATAAGTTTTTTCAGTCTTGAATTAATTATTTCATCTGTTTTCAGTTTACTTATGCAGCTTCACTATGATTAAAGAATTCTAATGTGTAAAAGCTGCATAATTTTCGTTCTCCAAAGTGCTGGTTATGTCATGATTAGGTATGTGTTTTACAATTTCTTTTTCATTATTTACTCTTTTAATAAACGTGTATTCTGTTGAAGCAAGGCTCAGAGATCTTTGCTAAGAACTTTTTCAAGATGATGATTTTACCTAGGGTACTGGTGCTTGGATTTGAGGAAAATGATTTAGTCAATAGATCAGGCACTTAATTCTTAAATTCTTTGTCATCTGAGTGGAATCGTAGGGCTTTGGTGACGTGTTTATTTCAGTGAGCTTGGTCTAGTGCTTACCCTTTTAATATTTCACATACTAGCAGCTTTGCTTTTCTAATTGCTAAAAGAGGTCCACTGCCAATGTCAGTTTAGTATCCTCTGTAACTAAAACATTGCAGAAAAGTCTTCTGGCACATTTATATTATCCTTATTCTTCTACACTTCTCACTGTTCCATGGGCAAGCTTTAGGGGAATCAGGCACTGCAGGGGATCTGAATCCTAACATATAACAGAGTGGTAGGAAGAACTACACCCTTACCTTAACTGGGACGCTGATGTAAACTTATAATAATGTTTTCTGTTGGCAGAATTTCAGCGCAGCTTGTCCTACTGAACCTGGCCAGTGTCAACAATGGCACGACTTCCAAGTGCTGCACCGCATACTCTGTGGATTCTTTTCTTTTCATATACAACAAATAAAGGTATGTGTGTCAATGTTTTAAGCTATTATACTGAAGTTTTTATCCAGCAGCATTTTCCCATGAGTAGTAGGCAACACTATTACCATCAATTAACTAATATAAAATGTGTTACTTCACACATCAGAAATAACTATATACTCAAATTCTTAAGATTTTTTTTTTTTTCCTTGACCTTTTCCATATGGTTAATAAAAAATAGGAATTTGCAGGAAGGCAAAACTGAGGTTTGGAAAGTCATCTCCCTCCTTTCCCATTACCTAATATCTGTTGGACACCTTGCTGCAAACAGGGTGCTCAGCAATGACCCAAGGACATACCTGTAGAAATACTGTAAGAATAGAAAGTGCTAGTCTCTCGTTCACTTATTTTCACAACTGCCACTGTTCACCATGCAGGACCTTGAGGGAGCTATGCTCATGAAATGAAGCCTATAGATCTTCTGTTAAAGGGCATCTGTCAGTTTGCATTCTCCGAAGTGTGCAGAAGTACTAAGTTGGAAAATTTAGTTGATGGGATTTGAAGAAATTTTGCAGGCACTGGCTCTCAGACATTATGTGCTCTGACTTGTGCCTGTACAGGGGCAGACGACTGACGTGATGTTCTTCACTACACCATTCTTTTGATCTGTCAGGATGTATAGCTGCATTAAGTCTTAATGCTGCTTGTTAGCTAATGGTTGTTCTATGAGGTTCAGCTGGCAGGGACTGAATATGAAAGTGTTTTGTCCCTTGCATCTTTTATGATATTTGATTATAAAGACAAGTTAGATATATAAAATCATGTCTTCAGACAATGCATTTATGTTCTCTGGAAAACAAAACTTACGTTTTGTTTTCTGTAGTTTTTAAGTAGTTCTACCGTAGTCTACAGTGATTTGGTTTTCTTTCTTCTTTAAAAAGCAAACCAAAATAGTTAAAGGAAAATAAAAAATGGCCTGACTCTAAAAAGAAGGTTTGTTAGTTACTTTATTATGTACTATGAAATAGTACAGTTTGAATTAATGAGAATGATGAAGGTTTGTGAGAGTGCATTGGCTGGGACATCTGATTTAGGTAATCCCACAATCTGTAAAGGTTTATTATCAAGGTTTAATTTTATAGTTTTTTGTTGTTTTGTTTTTTGTTTTTCCCCCTAGTTAACTGGTTTTAAGTTTCTTCAGCACAGTATTCTAGTTGAGGATTAAAAAAGAAATCCAGTATTTCGGTTCCCTCTTTAACTACACAAGCTGAAAACAAACTGTACTGTATGTGGTTTCAAAAGGAAATTCTCAAATATCTGAGGTTTAAAAAAAGCACACTGTAGCAGAGATAGAAGAGGGAGAAGATCACAGGAAGAGAATACAGAAGATAATTTAGAGTTCTGGAAAGACATGAGGACGCTGAAGGGCAAGATAAAGTAAAGCTGCTAATCATCGTAGCTTAACACAGCAGGAAGAGCTTCATTTAAATGAAGTATTTTTGAAAGTGTAGGATCACTAACACATTGAAAAATAATAACGTTCATCTTTAAAGGACTTAAAATGTTAGTACTTCTTTTAAAAAATGCATCTTAAAGTGGAAAAAAACAAAGAAACTAACAAAAAATACAAACTATAACCAAATATAAACAGCAACAGGATAAATAGATAATGGCTCTTTAACATTCACACTACTTATTTATTTTAAAAGTATTGCAGAAGTTATGTATCACGTCCACTAAAAGCCATCTGACCATCATGCTTATTATGTTTGCAGATACTGTACCATATCAAAGTATGTAGAAGTTATATCAGAATAAATAACACAAGTGGACTACAGAAAAGTAGAAATGTAAGAAAGATAAAATGAAATTCGCTATTTTTGACAAAAATTTTTGCTTGGGAGGTATAATCTGAAATGTAGATACCCGTAGGAAAGAATAAGTCCATGAAGCAGCAGTGGCTGAAGGACAAGCACCTTACAGGATGTGAATTGTTGGCAACTTTAATCTTGAATTTGCAATGTAAATGACAAGAATGGAGAGTTAGTAATGTGTTGGTCCATGTAAACAAAATTGCCCCTTGTATAGTTGCTGCAGGAACCTTCTAGCAGAATCCCTTGGGTAAGTATCAGAAAAACACCAATTAATAAGATTCTAAAAACCAGCCAAAGGTATTCTATATTTTATGAGGAATTGAGATGTAGAGCAGGAGAGAAGGATTTAGATTTGTACAACTTGTGCAAGAAAAGGGAGATACTTTTAATATTTACCAATAATAGAAGGTCAGCCATCAAAGAAGGCAAAGAATTGTCTGGGAAAATAGAAGTATTAGCTCTTTCTGACTGCCTCATTTAGAAATTATCACATTCCAGTACCACATTTGGCATACTGTTAGGAATAATAACAGCATGGCCTTACTGTCACATAGCTATTCCTCTTCTGTTCCTTTTTTTCACTTGTGTGGAGTGCATTGAAATAATGGAAAATGAGACTGGAAAGGATACTGAAGACTGTGTGTTCTATTTTCCTTTCCAGTTCTAACAAAGATATTTTGACCGATGTTTTCTATTTTTTTTCTTAAATACTGCTAGTGAAAGAGATTGTAAACACAAACATTGGGAGTGCAGGGACTTTGGGCTTTTCCGTAGCCCCTCAGTGCCTGGAACAATGTGACTCTAAATAGCTCCAGGTTTTCAAACAATATCACAACAATGAAAAGTAGAAGACAGAGCAGGAAATACTGAGTGAAATTGAGAAAAGGTGTATACTAGAAGAAAGCCTGTGAGAGGAAGATCTTCTAGGCAACTGTGGGGAGTCAGAGGGCATGCGTTTGGGAAGTTTAGAGCCACTGTAGATAAAGCACAAGTACATGCCTGTAGGCGGTGATCTTGGTCTGACTCTGTTAATTACCTGCATTTTGGCTTTTGAACCTTTTGTATTAACATGTGTCATTATGCTGTTTTCTAATGAAATGTTGATGTGCTTTAGATAGAGCTATCAGAATCAGATTTTCTGTGCTTGAAAGACAGTGTTGGATGAGTTGTGCCTTTGTATTTCCATATTACTACTGCAGACTACCTTCTCCAAGACCGTAGACATCTCCAGAAAGGTGGAGACATTTGGTGACCTGCATCACTTTCCATTTACCCAGAACACAAAAAATAACAATGCTTTCACTTAATTTATAGGGGGTTGGTAGCTCTGTTTAGATGGGAAAGTTAATGTTTCTGTTTAGTCCAATTTATTCTTTTGATTCTCTTGCTTCTCATTGTGTGCTGCTTCTCCCTAGTTATGGCTGCAGGACATGTAGAGGAATTTGCATGCTTCACTGACTATGACAAAGAGCTGGTTTGTCACTGGAAGGTGCCTGCACAAATTAATTGCTCCAAAGAATTCCTACTCTTCTACAGGAGGTATTTTTATTCTGAGCAGTAAGTGTTTAATAAGACGTTACATTATCATTGTTGGAACTTCATATATCCTATAACCATTATGAACTTTGATTCTGTCCCTCTACCATGGGTGTCTGGGACAAAATGTAATACAGATTATTCTTCTTGCCAGGAGGAAAATGCATTGCTGCAATTATCAGCACACTCTGTTCAGTGATCTACTCTTCTGCAGACCTTTCTTCATTTCTTAGTACAAAGAAGTGATCAAGTCCCACTTATAGGAGTGGTAGGGCTCTCATAAGTTTACCCAACCTTAATTTCATGAGAAACTTTACCTCCTTCAGGAGAAATCTTACCTAATTTACCAGTTTGTAGCCTGTGTGACAGGTACTGTCCTCTGGAGCCCAGGTGATTCTTTCTGCATACAGTCTCTGTTCAAGCACAGACTGTTGTCCCTGTTGTGCAAAAGGGCCAGTCGTCACCTCATTCAAAGGAAGATACATCTGGGCTCTTCTGTTCCACTCCATCTGATTTCTCTATGCAGACATCCAAATAACCTTACTTCATATGCTGTAGTAAATCTGTCCCTATACTAGCAAGCTGTAAGTCCATTCCTTTTCAGAGGTTGAAGTGTGACACAGTGTGTTAATTTTTCCTCTTGGGATCAGTCCTTAGCCTTTCTGTCAAGTTTTTCATTTGTGCAATACAGAAGTCCAGAGGGCATTTGGGGAGGGTGGGTTGTTTGGGGGAGATCAGTTTTGATTTGAACTTGTTTGCGCTAAGCATTTATAGGAACTGAGCTTGTTTGTCTCAGTTTTGATTAGCTCTACACATTGGGAAGCTTGGTTTCACCTTTTCAAAAAATATGCCAGACTTTCTAAATATCACACAATTTTCTGCCTGTTTTTCAGAAATGTGTGTGTCCCTGAGAATGGAAAAGACGGTTTAAGGTGCACTTGCACAATATATCCAGGTCATTTTGTATCAGGCCTCACATACATTCTAGCTCTACAGTTCAATGGGACTGATATGTGGAATTACAGTGTTATACCAGCACTGGTTGGTAAGAAACTGTTTACTTTGTCACCAGAATATCTGGTTCCAGACTTTGCAATCCTAGCTAACTCCTCATTCATGTCACTGGAACAGTTTTCCCTTGTCAGAAGTAAAAAGTGCCATGCTGGCTTAAATGCAAAATCCATTTGTCTTAGAAAATTATTCTGGAGTAGATTCTTAAGGAAAGACTATAGTTAATGAGGCAAGAAGAGAGTGATTCTTCTTCTAGCTGTCCCCTCTCAACTGCCAGACAGCAGCAGTCTGGGAGCTTAGACATGTCTTTAGTGCATTTTATTTGTGGCTGTAAAATTTGAGGATGAAGAGGAATGTGCTACTTCCAGTTTCTAGAAAGACACTAGGCTATCCCTACTGAAATTTCTTCTATTCCTGTCTGTGTCATACTCTGATTTTTCATGCTGGTTGAATCACACCCCCGAACAGAGAATTTTACAGTAATTGCTGCTGGATTGTAACAACCAGTGATAAAAAGTTAATGACTCTGCTCTTTCACAGCACAGAGCATAGGTACAGTTTATGTCTCCCTATAGGCACCTTGTCTGTTTAGAACAGTGTGCTTGTTCATAACACTTGTCACCTTATACACTCAGAAAAATCATTCACATATCTTAGGTAGGCATTCATCTGCATTGATGAGCTGGTTCTTTTCAGAATGCTTGATTGTCGCTGCTGCTTATCAGCAGAATAAGCAGGAGCCTGCAACGGTTTGACACAGGTAGCCAGGACAGCCAGGCTGTCAAGTCAGAAGCTCTGTGCCTACCCCACAGCACAGCATGCTATTGTAAGGGCACAAGCAGGTTGTTCCCATCTTTCCAGACTGAAAGCTGTATCCAGTGCACCGAAAGGTTGAACTTGCATTTTGTTCAGCCAGCTTGAAGATTCAGTGCTTGTTAATGAATACCTTGCAGCTGCTCTCTTGGTCTTTATATCCTTGTGCTACAGCATAGTGAAAAGGGCTAAATGCATTGATTGCGATGAGACCTTGGTCTCTGGTGAATGTTTGTGTCTCTGCTTCGCTCCATTAGTGCTTTCCTATTGCCATGTTCTCCTTAATTGTATTTTTTTAACATACAGTTAAGCCAAGGGCCCCCATAAATCTTGCCATTGAGAAAGTTGAAAATGGTAATTTCAATCTGAGCTGGGAGGAGAGCTACTCTCCTGCATCCATGCTCTCTGGACAGCCGGTCATCTATGAAGTGAAATACTGGAGGAAGCAGCACCCAACAGAGGTAAGAGACAGCCAGTCTCTTCATTTTCTGTCTCTCTGGAGCTTTCAGATTTAAAAAGTCCTCTGAAAAGTCTTGAAACCATGTAATGAATAATGGTGTAAGGACCAGCAAGGGCAAGTCCCACAATGTTCCTGATCACACGCTTGCTACAGGTCATATTGCCCCAGGGTGGTTCAGCTAGGCTGTGAAGGATTGAAACTCTTCTGAGTGTCACCCCAAAATGGTCTGCTGCTCATGGGGGCAGAGGCTGAAAATACAATGCTTCTGTTCCCTGAACTTCATTTGCTCCTTAAACATCAGGAAGATGGAGGCCGTTCATGACTCCGTGGCACACCTGAGGCATCTCAGACATGCTTCCGAACAATCCAGCACTTCTTTTGGTAGGGGAAGAACGCTCATGGCAGCGTGGCACAAACACCACCCACTCATGACAACAAAATGCAGTATCACACGCAACAGATGAGATATACAGTCATTCATGTGCTTATTTGTGAAAGGTCACTGAAACACATAACACTAATGTTATTTAATTGTTGTAATTAACCCTTTGCCTCATACAAAAATCAGAGTGAATTTTCTCACTTTCTTTTCAGGCTTCTGTTAAAGCAATTAACTACCAGACAAAAAACTTTGAAATTACTGCAAGCTCCTTGATGAGAGGCTATGATTATGTTGCAAGTGTGAGGTGTAACTATACAGAGTACCCAGCATACTGGAGTGAATGGAGTGAAGAAGTTGAATTTCACTATGGTGAGTACTGTAACAAACAGCAGCTTGATAAAAAGTTGATACAGTTTTATAAACCATATCATATATACCCTGCTGATTTCCTTTCAGAGGAAAGTTATGGAATCATCATCTTCATCTTTTTGAACGTATTGTGGATATATCCTGTAAAGGCTTCCAAAGAGATTAAATGTAAAAAGGCAACTCCTGGGGAAACTAAGGAAGAGAAGACCAAGGGAATTTGGATTTTTTAGCCTTGTGAAAAATAGTCTGAAAGGGGATGTGTTTATTCTCTATAAATATTTCATGAAGTAGACACCAGGGAAGGAGAAGATATATTTAAACTAAAGAACAGCCTTGACATAAGAGCAAGTGGGTATAAATGACCAAGAGATATTTAAGCCGCAAATTAAGCAATACTTGAATAATTAGTCAGAGGGCTGAGGGTTTATAAAAAGATCTCTGAAGAGCAACAGAGAGGACAAGAAGCACAGCTACACTACAGTAAAGATGATAATGCCATTTTAGGGAGTGTGTGGCAGGTTTGTCCCTGAGAGCTGACAAATGGCCTCACAGTATATACTGGCACTCTCAGCTCCTAACACTCAAAGTAACTAACTGCAGTACCTGCAGCGATCTTTGAGGCATGCCAGACACCATCACCACTGGTAGCTGTGTAGGTTCTGTTTATCTGCTGGAGGCTTTATTTTACACCCTCTAAATTATCATTGTTTTTAAGGTGTAAGAGAAGAGCAATGAATTTGGTATTGCCAGTACTTGTATTTATGTGTGCATACTCATGTAAATGTATATGTTTATTTAACAGATTACCAAGTAACAGCTGAAGACATTCTGCAGATGGCTGTTCCCATATCCTGCATACTGATCATGGCAGTATCTGTAATCTGTTACTTCTGTTTTACCAAGTATGTATCATACTGTTCACAGGTTTTGTAGAGTAGCAGCTATCAGTATTGCTATTGTTTAGCTGAATGTGTAGTAGTACAGGAATCGAATGTTTTGGTTTTCCTCAGCACCTTTGTCTTGCTCTCCAGGAACAAACATTTTATAAACAGGAATCAGTTGTAGTCTGTCATTTTCTGAATAGACAATTGAATATTATCTATTAATCTTACTAGGATGGGCTTGTTACAGCATCCAAAACAGGCTGCAGTGATGGGCTTTGTCAGTTTTGGACCCCAGTCTTTGCTGGACTTCCAGTAATGACGGTTTAATATATGTATTTCTTTTTAAACTTTTTTTAGTGGTAGTATGAAAGTGGGATCCTATCTGTTTCACACATCATTTCAAACATGATTAGCAGAACATGTGACTGTGGTTGTACAGAGCAGCCACACACCAAACATATAAACATCTTTGTATTAGTTTAATGAAAAGCAGCACTTGGAGTTGCACATATCAAGCACTTCCTGTTGCTGCAATGCAGGTGTATAAGAGAGAGAAAAACAGAAGAGGGAAGCGTACACTGATGAAGCCAAAATGCCATTAAAAGCAAACAATTTTAATTCTTCCCTTGCAGAGTGAAGAAAGAATGGTGGGATCAAATCCCAAATCCAGCAAAGAGCCATTTGGTTGTAAAAAATGTCAAGGTAATTTAAAGGCTTTGCAAAAAATACCTTTTCCAGATCACCATATGTAGAATATGTAATAAGTGCTATTTTCTGGTTAGTGCAGGGGATACTAAATACAATTTACATGTGTCCTAAATATCACTTGTATCTTTTTTTTTTTTAGTTTTCAGTCTTGTGCTACATTGATGAAATTAAGTTCCCTTTCCATGACTTAAAGCAGAATCATATGGAAAACCAAATGTAAGTAAGATAAAGAAAAGAGAAGAAAAAAAAAAAAAAAAAACAAAAAAAAAACACAAAAAAAAAAAACCACCTCTGCTTTACAGCATAAAGTACTTTCCTATTACATAAACATTAACTGTCCTTTCCTTTTGTCATCCAAAAACAGAATTTGCAAGAACTGTTTGGCTCAAAGTTTATCAAGCCAAAACTTCAATGGAAAAGATAACATCAGAAATGTTGAGAAATCTTGCAGTTGCCACAGCAAGTCTGGAGAGTGGTTTCCAAAAGGCGGCAGTGCAGTTTTAACCCCTGAGACGATTCTGGTTGAAAAGTGTATAGAAATCTGTGAATGTTTAACAGACATTGAGCCTGAGAGCCATGAAGAGACTAGTGACCAGATCACCATGTTTGAACCTTGCGAGAGCAGCTTCACTGCTTTCAGAGAGCACACTGAACACAATGATGCACTAGCTAGCATGTTTATTGAGCTCCTGGCAGATGACACCAACGTGCAAGACAGTAAAGACCCAGGCATCATCACAGGTGAGAATAAAACCTTTGAGAAACTTGAGTCAGAAAATCCATCACAGAGAAATCCAGAAGAAAGCGCAGCCCAGAGCCAGCAGTCATGTGATATTTCTCATACAGTCTCCCTTTTCACCAAAGCCTCTCAAGATAACTACAATTGTAGTACAGCCAGCAAGAAGTCACAACAATCAGAAGAATCTTTTGAATCTGGCTATCGGAGCTCCAGCATAAATTCTGCTTCTGTGGATGCAAGAGATCTTCAGCATATGGTTCATCAAAGCATTTTTCCCTGCAGTTCTGAAAGTCAGCATGACTTACTGGTCCTGATTCAGGAATCTCCAAATAAAACATCCTTTGGGACCAAAAAAGGTGGAATAAGCAACCCTGCACACAAGAATTTTGATACCCTTGTGTCTCCATCCATGGGGCTGTGTAGCTCTGCCTATAAGAGCTTTGACACCCTCCTGTCTCCAGCCGTGGAGCCCTGTGGTTCTGCCTACAAGAGCTGTGACACCCTCGTGTCTCCAGCCGTGGAGCCCTGTGGTTCTGCCTACAAGAGCTGTGACACCCTCGTGTCTCCAGCCGTGGAGCCCTGTGGTTCTGCCTACAAGAGCTGTGACACCCTCGTGTCTCCAGCCGTGGAGCCCTGTGGTTCTGCCTACAAGAGCTGTGACACCCTCGTGTCTCCAGCCGTGGAGCCCTGTGGTTCTGCCTACAAGAGCTGTGACACCCTCGTGTCTCCAGCTGTGGAGCCCTGTGGTTCTGCCTACAAGAGCTGTGACACCCTCGTGTCTCCAGCTGTGGAGCCCTGTGGTTCTGCCTACAAGAGCTGTGACACCCTCGTGTCTCCAGCCGTGGAGCCCTGTGGTTCTGCCTACAAGAGCTTTGATATTCTTGTGTCTGCATGCAAGGAACCAAGTAGCTCTGTGTATAAGAGCTTTGATACTTTTATGTCTCAGTCTACGACTAACAGTAGCTTGACTCTGTGTTTTGAAAATGTGTGTTCCTCGCCACCTTTGACACGGTTTTCAGAGACACTAGAACTTAGCTCCAGAGATCAAATTTATCAACCCCCTAGCAATCAGACATGTTATGCCAAGTACAGATCTTGCACTGAGCTTGATTTTCAAAACACCTGTTCAGAACATACTGATTTTCCATCTTTCTCCACACATGTGAATGACAGTACTTCAGCTTTCCTACCAGAGCAAGAAATATATAAGCAGGTAACATATCAAAATGTTCAAAAGAAAGCCCATATAGTTTCCTGCCCCATTGGACCTCAACCATCTGGTTATCAACCTTTTGATAATGCAGTTAAATGCAATGGTACATACTGTGGCAATGACAGTGAGGTTATCTCTAGGTCATTATATGAACCCTTCATTTGTCTTTTGTACAAGAACCTGAGAGAAACACCTCCAGATACCATAATCTCTGAACCTGACCAGAGGACAGATGACCACATATGTTTGATTGTACAGGGTTTTGACTGCAGTGTTGTCCCAGCTTTAGCCCCTAGTGAGAATGTCTCACAGACCAGTGATGGCAGGCTTTGGATCATCAACTCTAATGAGCTGCCTAATGATAGAAAATATGACAATACCAGCAGAGATGAACAGCTGTTGCAGTTGTTAAAGCTGAACTGTCAAGATTTTAACAGCAGAGAAAGAACTATAAAGTGGACAAAACCTAACAGCTTTAACTATACTGGTAAAGGAATGCAAGAGAGCAGCAATAGCAGACTAAATACTGACTTTCATTGCCACATGCACAACTACTTGAGGAAACTTGGAAATGCAGGAGAAAATAAAGAGGTGATAAAGCATGTGGTAGGCAGGAGGAGGTGTGACTCAGCAGCTAGTTTACCAGAAGCATCACTGGATGTCATTGGGCTAAACTTGAAAAGAAAACCTGCAGAGCCTGTGGAGCTCCTGGTCTCGGGCAAGGTGTCACCTCCTCTTTTTCTGGATAACTCCTGTCCTGATTCTCACGCTATTCAGAGTGAGGGTTCCAGACTGGCACCTGCAGTTAAAAAAAGTCCAGTGGAACTACTGAGGGAAAACAACAGGAAGAATGAGAAAAAAATTAAACTTGTACAAGCCCTTGCCCAGGAGAACAACTGCTACATGAAGGTAGCCTAGGCTCACCTGTTAAGACTGAATCAAGCCAGTCTTTGGAAATAAACTGTATGGAAAATTGAAAAATGTTGCTTGTTCTTCTGGTCTTGCCTGAAGCGAGGCCTGTGACAGTTCAGACATGGATTCAGTGGGTTGTAACACTTGTGCCTGCTGCAGGGCTGGCAACCAGTATGTGATGCATGCCCCTGGGGGGACAGTAGGGCTTAGCACCTAATATTTGCAGCTACAGCTCTATCAGGGGCGAAGCCAGAGCTAAAGTTTCTTTGGCCATGATTGTTCTCTAAAAGTGAGCAGCAGCTGCATAAAGTAGGAGTTCTTAGTTCAGCTCCTGTGGTTATTGCCCTGGCCTTGTATGTTGCTTGGGAAGCACACAAAGGTGATATGGAAGGTGCTGATGCACCTGGAAGTGGGATGTAGGTGCAGGTCAAATGGGAAGTGACTGACTTGCACTGACAGAATCACACAGCTTTCATAATTTATATACTGGGGAGGAGGGAGGTACTGTGTGCTTAGCCCCAGCATGGGGTATATGTTTCTACACTTGCTCAATCAAGACCTGAAATAAAGATTATTGTCATTTGGGATTAAGCAATGCTATTATTGATGATTAGTTTCCTATTCTGTGGAAGCAACCAGAGTTATTTTACACTTTTACAGCTGTAAATTGAATCAGACATTTCTAAGCAGTGTTTTCCCCGGAAGTTAATCCATTTTATGGTCAGACTTCCTAAACTGATGGAGAATTTATTCAGCTTCTTGTCCAGTCAGAATGGGAATTATGCATGTAGCTTTAAGGCAGCGTATACTTTTTGTTGGATAATTGTTCCAAAAGTTTTACTCACAACTCTGACTTTTTCTAGGGCATTATCATGTATTTTGGTATAGTACATTCCACCCTAGTGTGCTGTCAGTGGCACAAAATAGTTAAGAACCATTAAGTAATTCATATGTATTAAAATATACGTGTATTCTAATTGTTTAGAAACCTATTTGTGTAGCCATTCATAAGAAAGGAAACCATAATGCTAAGCACAGAAACTGGTTTAATGTGTTTTGTAAGTAAGATTTTTGTCCTGCAGATCTCTCTTCAAAGTTCAGGTTGGCCAAGTAGTAGAAGTATCTATGCATCAGTTTTGCAGCAGCAAAAAGTGGTATGTAAGCCCTGGAAGGAGAGTCACAGTGAGGTGTCTGTATTTAGATGTGATAGTTAATATTTGTATAGGCACTGGTTTGTAGCTCACTTTTACTAAGGTGGTTATTAGTGAAAGATCTTGCTGCTTGTAGCTAAGTTGTCGATGAACATGTTATTTGTTTTTATTGAAAATACCAGGCTGAATTTCATTTTCACACAGGTGAGGTTTAATTCTATCAGAAATACTCTTTCTTTGTGTGAGGGCAGTCGCTGCTGTAGTTAACATCAGCACAAATTCTGTGAAGTGGGAGGGCTGTGGGGCAGGCAGATGAAGAGGCTTTCCAGGACCCATCAGCCAAACCCACACTGAAATGGTGAAACAGGAAGATGCAGAGATGCCATGGTCTGCCTCGTGAGTAAGCTGACTCACTTCCCTAAATCCAAGCAAAGTCAAGTTTAAGCAAAATCCCACAGCTAGTTATTGCAGCTACCCAGAACAGGTTATCCAGTGTTTACTGTAGTATCACAGGGTTGATAAGGGAGGCACAGGGACACCAGTGGTGCTTTCTTCCCCTTCTGCGCATTCCCTTGTGCTCCTTGTGAAATCCTCCTGGAAGGCTTGCAATTGACTGGAGCAGCCAGGAGAGGTCTGCTCAGCCCAGAATTGGAAAGGTGTTTGCTGCAGCACTTGTCTGGTTAGACCCAGCTTCATTCTGCCTTTCCCTGGCTTTCTCTTCTACATGGCTGTGACCTCCTGTCTGTTCATTTCCATTGAATGACTTTCTGTGCGTGCCTATTCTTCCCCTTCTCTCCCGTCAGTATTTCTCTGGTGAAATCAAACTCTAACTCTTCGAGAAGGGGGAGCCCTATTCTTATAACCCAAATTGGTGATAAACACCAGGGGTGGCTGGCCAGTTCACGCCCTCTCCTGTGATTGGCACCGTGCATCACTGCAGTGGGAGCTAAGTTCGTGTTTTGTCCCCCAGGGCCTCTGCTTTGGCCATCCAGAGCTATTCCCAGGCTACGCAAATGCAGGTAGGCTTCAAATGACAGGTTTCTGGCCTGAGATGATCTGCCCAGAACGTGTGGGAGTTCTGACTTTGGGCTGGCTTCCAGGACTGCTGGTGAGGTGTACGGGCCTGAGCCACACCCCCGGGGTACCAGCCTGTGCTTGCAAAGGCAGCTTACCCTCCTGAGAGGAACTTAATTTCTGAAGGACCCCCCCCAAGCATGTCCTTTTTGGCTAGTGGAGGGCTCCTACTAGGATGGAGAATTGCTGTTCTTATTAAGTGTATTTTAAGTGTTTTTCAGTTTGTTTTGTAATACTGCAGTGCAAGTGGAGACTTGTGCTAAATTTTAGCCTAGTTATAATGCCATTTATTATGCACTCACAATTACTCCACCTCCACATTTTTCTCACCTGGCTGCCTACCATGTATTAGCAACCTGACTCACCATGAGTGAAATGGGTTCCTGAGAAAAGCATGTGTGTTCCCAGTTCAGAATAGGCTAGTTCTGATATACTGCCTTTCCTTTGCAGAGAATGCCACAGCCTTGCCTTTTTTTTCTTTCTCCCTGAACAGTGTTAGGTCCTTGGAAATATGCACCTGTATGGAACAGCTGTTGGCAAATTCCTATCAATCACAAGGTTTGTCAACGCCTGTGAAAAACTAACAATACCACTAAATGAGGGTGAGACTAGTATGAAGCAGGGGGTTGAGGATGTAGGGACACGTTAATTTAGGGTTAAGGAGGGGTCAGCTTTTTAAATAATTTCTCTCTGCATCTTGCTTTGAGACCCTGCGTTGTTCAGGCAGGGTGCAAGGAAGCCCAAGTGCTTGTCCATCATGAGATACAAACTTTATCTAAGAAAACAAATTATTTTAGGTGTTGCGTTCTAGCAGTGACATGGCCAAAGGAACAAAGTGTGAAAGAATCGAAAGAGTGGGTTGTGACTTTCAAAACCCTGCTCCCTAATGTTTACCCCTGACTGTGGCATTAGGTGACAAAACTTAGTGAATAGAGACTGAAAGGACAGTTTGTTTTCTCATAGCCTTGTCTTTTTCTGTAGAAACCTCCTTAGGGAGCATGATTTGTGCAGTTTGTATTCTAGCTCTGACAGAGGTACTTTCAAAGGGGGTAATTTTGCATACAGTTGTTTTCACAAAGAATAGGTTTTTTTGACTAATTTTCAGGGAAACTGTGCCCGTGCAGTGCTCAGGCGTGTGCACACGTGTGTGTGTGCACACACACAGATCATTTCCCCCTTTCTGCAGATTGCTGAGTAGTACAAGTTTTGCCCCAGGCTCCCACATGGTAATGTATCATGATCACACATTACCTGGAATTTTAATTTTTTTCGCCACGCTGCTATGACTGAGGCAGTCATGTCGTGCTGTCAGCTTTTCATCAGGTGTTGCAGCCACAGCACACAGCCCTCAAGGCCCCTCTGACTAAACTGTGGTGATGAGGTCAGAAGCCAAGCAACAGCTCACCATGAACTTGCTGACAATCAGAGCAATGAAACCAATGACCTGGTCTGGTTTTCAGATGCAGGACTATCATCTCTCAAAGCAGATTTCTCCACTGCAAAGATAAAAAACAGCCATGTAAGGAAGAGGGCACTAACACACTTAAACATACCTCTGTGCGTTTCCCCATAGTACCTAATAACAGCCAGCAGCAGCACAGCTGCTTTGCTAAGTCCTGACTATTCTCATTCCTTTGACAAGCTGAGAAAGCAATGCTGAGAGGAACTTCACATCTCTGCTGGCCAAAGGTGCTTTGCTCGGTCCCTTGTGCTGCCCTGCTTCCATCCTGTCCCTTCTGTGGCTTTCTACAACATGGAAATTTCCACACAGCCTTCTCCTACCCCTCCAGCAAGACTGCAAGATGAAGGAGAAGAAAAACTGGCTGCAGCTTTAAATGAACAGAGTGGGGAAGTGTCTGCTGCGGTACATTTAGCTGCATAGGGGGAGGAGCAGCTGTTTTCTTCTTGTTTTGCTCCTAGCCAGAATACTTCCTATAAAACTCTGACCATCTGTGCAGGAGACCTAAAATTCTGTATTCTGAATGCAGAGAGGCAATTATAAGGGCAAGAGTTGGTATAGTACTAGTCTGTGCTCCACTGTATAAAAGCAGGGCATTCACAGGAGTGTGGTGTTTGTCCTCTGCTTAAAGGTTACTGAGTTGGTGACTAACATATCACTGGGACTTTCCTACTTGCTGCTGTTTCCCCAACTCTTAGACATGGGGATATTTGCCATAAACTGAAGAGTTTGAGGTTGGCTGCTTCTCCCCAGCTCAGCCACTGCTGGTTTCACTTGCAGTGAGTCATCCATGCAGAAACAAGAGTTATAACAGGGTGAGAAAGCGCCCGACTGCCTTCTGGGGGTAGATTTTCCATGCCTGGCTCAGGGTTGTAACCAATCCATGGTTCTTGTCTTGCTCTAGAGTTTCTGTGAGAACCAGGTCTGCACTGGCCATGGCTGTCCCTGAAGTTAGTGCTCTTGGCCCTTGGTGAGTGGCCAACAGAGGTCTTGAGGAGCTGGTTCTGGCAGGCTCATGCTGTGCTACGTTCACTAACCAGTGCATGTGTCTCACAGGCTGTGGGCTTGAAGGTTTTGCAGGGCAGGCAGTTCATTGCTGGGTATCTGCTCCCCCACTGCCCAGCTCAGGCACTGCAGAAGCACACAGTATGCTCCTCTGCAACACGAGGGATGCAACAGAACCATCAAGTGCCTTGTTTCCATCACAAGGGCAGGAATTAAGACGCATAGTTTAGCACACGCTACCTATTCCATGGCCTCATCCTGAGCTGTGCTGGGCCCCTGTGACAGACACTGTCGTCCAGAAGCATCAGGGATTCTTCCCACTTCTGGTCAGGCCACCTTTGCTGTTCTTACGACTTGTCATAAAAATCTCCAGCTGTACTCCCTAGTGTGAAGGACCAACACATTCAACTGCTGTCCATATTGTCTCAGTTTTGCATGTTATCTGCCATTGCTTTAGCTTCTTGCAGCTCCTAGCACATCACTTTCCAATTCCTGCACATGCACAGTGTCAGGGTAAGGAGTGTGGAAACTACTTTATGCAGAGCTGGTCACAGAACAGCAACCAGGAGATCCAAGCAGCTTCCTTGTTTGAGCAAGAACCTCACACCACAACCAAAGCCACCGTGGAGCATGGAATCCCCCAGTCCCTACGTTTTGTAGGAACAACCTTCAGACTCCTTCTCTTGTGAGCACTGTAAATGTTTACCAGTGCTGATTTAGATGCAGATATGCTGATGTGACACAATTTCTCCAGTTCCAGTGCTCTAGTGGAGCCAATAACCCCATGTTTTGGCCTTTTTAACCTGAGACAAAACAAGCTCTTGCCTTCTGTCACCTTACAATTAACTCCCACCAGCATCAGAGTAAAGCGATAGCTTCACAAAACTTGGACTGCCCCAAAAAAGTCCTACAAAGCCTTTTGGCTTCTCTATGCAGAATGTATTCTGAATTTTTAGAAACACTGGTTTCTTTGGAGCAACCTGTTTCTGTGAAAATTCTGTTTATATCCAACATTGTTAATATGCCCCAACATATTGCAAGGTGGTTCTCTAACGCTGCCTGTTTGTCCATCCTGCACCCCCATCCTGCCTTTCCTCTTAAAGAGACAGTACATCCCTGCCAGTGACACGAGAAGCCACTAACTGTGTTAGGACTGTACATTCTATGAGTCTGGGATGGAGCCAGCAATGCTGCTGGAGTCCGTGGTCTGCCGTGCAATCATCTCCTGCAGCTCACTGCTTGCCACGTGGAGGCAGCATGCAGTGCGAGCCATCAGCTTTTGATTTGAAAGTGCTTCCACAGTCAGAGGTTGAAAATAACTAGGGTGTTTTTCACATCATTAGAGATGCCAGAAGCTGTCCAAGCACAGTCGATTGCTGTAACCAGCCCCAGGTGTGAGAGGCCTGCTGTAAAAGCTTGTGGCCAGGCAGCACAGGTGGAACATGCTGATTTTTGACATCTGTGGTAAAACAAAGATCCAAGAGGCTCAGGTGAGGTTCTTGCCATAAATAGCTGTATGTCAGCAGCGGAGCTCTGGTCTGTGGTGTATCCCTGGGATTAGAGACCTGGGGACAATTTGATGGATGTTGGCTCTCAACGGGTCAGTTTCTGCTAACCTGTGTCAAAGGAGCAGGGAGTTCTGTCAGCACTGCTGACTCAGGTGAGTGCTGTGGGAATGTATGATGGACTTGCTGACCTTGTGCAGAATTGGCACTCTTTAGAAGTACAAGCACAGAAGGTGTGAGCTGGGGCCAGTCTGAGAACAGCTATGATCGGGGAAGGTGGAGGGGATGGGATGCATCAGCTGAATAGACAAGAAAAGGCTGATGCTTAGTTTGTGAAGCTGCATGAACCCAGCGGTGGGGCAGGGCTATGACAAATATATTGAGGGAGAGTACCGTCTGTGGGCTATCTAAAGGGGTCTAGGCTCTCAGAGGAGGGTTGTGTGGAGGCTGTCTTGGGGACAGCATGCTTTCCTGTGGGCTGAGTGTATACAGTGTAGTGAGGCATCTGGGGAGGTGCTCTGGGCATGTTTTGCATGGTGCAGATAAGGGTGGTGGGTTTGAGCCTGAGCAGAGTTGTAGGTTTCTGTTCCAGCTGGTCAGGGTGAGTTCACAGGCATAGTCATTCCTGTTTCTGTTTATCAGCATGTGTCTGGTGATTTCCTAAGAGAAGATACAAGCCTCTGTGTGAGCAAGACGTACATAGCCAGAGCTCTGTGAAGGTAAGACCTTTTCCTCTGGTAGGATCCAGAGTGATGTCCTCCTACTACAAATTTCATGCCAGATGGGTTCAGACTTGATGTATATTGGGGAAAACAGGAGGCTGAGCCCAGTGTTGGTGACTACAAAGATACAACTGGTAAAGGCAAAAGGGAGGCAGGAGGGCAGGGTGCTTGGGTTGCTGTAGGCGGCACTCACGGTTCCCCAGACCAAAAGCAATGCACTCCTTCCTCCTCTGTGCAGCATCCTGTGTCAGCTCACAGGCTGCCAGCTGGGGGGCTTTGTTGTTTTTCAACCTGCTGCTTTGCTGACTAACACCTCTGCTTTTTGCCTGGCTCATTCATATTTTACCCCATTTCCTGAGCTTTGAGGTGGTTTATTGCTTTCCCTTCTAGTAGAAAACTGTTACTCATGTCTCAGCTGTTCTCCTGCCATTTTTTTACTCATTACTTATCATAATGTATGATTATTTTCTTCCTAAATGTCATCAGCTAGTAAAGTTGGCTTTGACCCTAGAGTTATACCAGACCTGTATCTTTGATGATGCTGAGGATATGGTTTAAATTCCATTGTGATAGGAAGAAAATACAGAGGTAGTACTGTTCGTGTGGGGTTTTTTTCCTCACATCATGAACTTGATAACTGCAAGTGTCACTAGTTCTCCCTTCTAGAGAAAGGAATTGTCAGTTCTGATTGTTATTTCCTCTGTATGTATGTATTCTTGCTCATAAATACATACAGATGTTGACCTTCCAGTCATGGCAAAATTCTTTTGGGTCATCAATAACTTCTTGGTGAATATTGCCACTGCAGGCTGGGCTGAGCTTACAGCTGGATAAAAGTAGTTGCCTCTCATATTGAATCTACATAAGTCTGTGGCAATTGAACTACTCCAGGTGTCCAAGTGCTTTACCTTGGGGGCTGGATTCAGCTGCCCTGAAATGCCATGGAACCTCAAGTATAGAGGAGTCAGTGTCCCCAGAGTAGCTCTAGAGCTGCGTGCTCTCGGAGATGGTCACTGCACACGGAGCCCACTGTTTTGCTTTGTCCCATGTAGGAGGTATGTCTATGTACTAGATTCCAGGTGGCAACATGTATCAGGGCTCCTAGAGATCCTGCATATGTGCCCTACATCATGGCCCTTCCCGGACTGGATATGGTGGATACAGTCCCTCTCAGCTGCTGAGAGAGATCTGGTGGGTCACACTGTGCTGGGCTTCCCAGGACCGAAGAGCTAGGTGTATGTTAAGCATTTGCTCTGCAGGAGCAAGTCTACTTGTTGCTCTTCACATTGCAGTACTTGCAGTTTCATATGTGCACATGCACATATGTATAGGCACAGTGCTAGATGACTGAAGAGAATCAATCATTAAGTTTCAACACATCTGTGCATGATGAGCTATTCCAGACTTCTGACAGGACCTTAATACTTCTTTTGGCTTTATGCTTCACCAGCAGTGAGCACTACAGAAAGGAGACTGTACACATCTAAATTCTGGCTTTCAGTGAAGGATTGGCTATCTTAAAAAGAAATTCCAACTGCCACTGCTGCCTTCTCCTAAGGCTTATTACCTACCTTCAGTCTTACCTGTCTTTCCTTGTTTCTAATTAGTAAACACATCCATGCCCTTGACTGACCCTGGGGAAAACAGATGTTTTGGACCATTCAGGCCAGGGCAGGTGGCTCTTGACCATGCTTGCCAGGTAGCCGCTGGTAACCGGGCTGGCCCATGTGGTGGTTGTGCACTGTTATGCATGTGGAAGATCCTGTTACTCGGCCCAACAGCTGTTCCTCATTGTGTTCGGAGCAGAGCCTCTGTAAGGAAGACCAGCTCTTCCCTCTGCACACTTTGTGGATCACTTACAGTCATGGTGTCGGGCCCAAGCTTCTTGCAAAGGCTTGTCTCAGCTGATGCTTCCTATGTAGTTGTGGAGATTGTCGCTGCTGGGTGCAGTGTGGGATAGCACAAGGTCAAGTAGGCTGAGCAGCTAAGCTGGACACTTCCCAGGTGGCTAGTAACAGCTTTCTCTTGTGAGGGTGTCAGACCAGTGGTGCAGCATTTGCTCCACAGTTACACACAACTCTCCAAGGTGTGCTAGCACTATTATTTGTGCAGAGGAATAAGGGAAGAAGCAGCATGTGTGATCAGTCCAAAGAGTAATAGTCTGGCAGGCAAAAGCCAGACTACTTTTAAAACATGTGATAATATGCATTTGATATTGCAGAGTTAATTTTTAAAACCAGAATACTGGTGGTACCCAAGACCAACTACTTTACAAATTTAAACATATTGTACCTAAATGCTTTTCTCAAACAACTCATTAAAAAAGAAAAATCACTTGTGCTATTTTCTGTATGACTGCTTAGGCTGCAATTATTCTGTATTATTATCTTTTTGTTGTACATTAACTGAGTCCCATGTTAGCTTTTCTGATAGTTTTGGTATAGACCTTCTGGCCTGCTTTATTGCCCAGAATACCCTACTTCCCTTTATAAAAACTCTGGCATGTTAACACTCTTATAATCTCATGGGAACATTCCCTGGCATACCAACACCTCACCTTGTTCCTGCCTATGTATCAGCATAGCAACCAAAGCTGTTCTCTTTTGCTCTGTTTCCCTATGGCTGTGTATTCTTTGCTCCAGACTGCGATCAGCAACCTTTTAAGTCTGGATTTCTCCTTTTCAAACAGATATTACGTATGCTGGAAGCAGTAAGCTTCTTATTTTTCAAATATCAGTACACGAGAGAGACTACTACTGAATATGGAGCTGGGACCTTCTGTCTCGACCATCTTCTGACAATCTCATGCCCTTTTTGGTTTTATGCCCTCTGTGATTGCTGCGTCCTTGCCTACATGAGGGATGGGATTTATTTTGTTCTTTAACTACTATAAAAATGTACTGCACTTAGACAAGCCGTGACTCTCCCATATCGGTAATTTCCCTTATAGCTATCTGAGGAGCCCTGAGGTCTGGGTAAGAGCTGGCCCCTACTGCCTGTGCATCTGCTGTCCCAGGCTGCCTGGCTGGGTTGTGCTGTGCTATGCCAAGTCTTTGCATCTCCTCTGGCTGTGCAGTGGGTGCCTCAGGGGCATTGGGCTCCAGCTCAGCAGATCTCAGGCTGAACAAGAGTCTGCTCACCCTGTACCCAGCTGTTTTGTGCCTATTTCACTGCTGTAGTCTCTCTGGGTTATTCCTGCTCCTTTACCCTCCTATCACCACACTACGCCGTGTGTGCCAAGTCCCCTGCTGCTCTTCTCCCTCTTGTCCAAGGACACAAGGAGCGTGCGCGGGGCTCCTTGCAGACCCTTTTAAGGTACATGAAGGTGGGCTGACCGACACTCCCTTAGTGTCAGCCTTGCAATCTGCAGAACCCTAGCCAAGACACAAGTTGCAGGCATGAGATCAGGGTAGGGGTGAGCCCCCTCCACCTGTGCGGGAGCCAGACTGTCTGTCATCTGAGGATTGGTGCTGTTGCCCTGGTCCCAGGGGCCATTCTGGGGATAAGTGGAAGCAGAGCGCAGAGGTACTTGGCTGTCTCCAATGTGGTACACAGTGTACTATATAGTTAGGCTTAACAATTTAATGCCTTGATGCTGATACCTCCCTATTGCAAGACTAACTCCACCAGCCCCACTATGACCTTTTAAATCTGAGGCTTGTGAGTTTTTATCTGCTCTCCCACCTCTTTCTCACATAAGAGAGCAGAGCAATACAGTAATAAATGTTGTGTGGGTGTTTGGACCCGAATTCATTGCCTCCTCTGTTCACCACATCCTTCTATCTGCACAGTAATACTGATACAGTGGTGACGTCAGCCACCATTTATCACCGTGTATTCCAATACACTACAGCTCTTGGCTGTGCACAAGTAGGTTTTATATTTACTCAGTGCTGAGATCCACCTGCTTTCCAGCTAGTGCACATGCAGTGTCTGCAGTCACAGTGATGATTTAGCCAGTCCAGCCATGGAAGTATTGGATGCCTGAAATGGACAGCTGAAAGGATGGGGCAAGGTAATGTCGATGTTGCCACCAACTTTCCCTGCTGCCAGTTTATTGCTGCTTGATATCTGTGACTTCACTATAAATCTTTCTTATAGTTGATGTGACCCTTTTGCCCCTCCTGTCATTGCAGTTGACCTCTACTGGACAGCTAGAGAATCCTTCTGTTTTCCTGTTGCTTTAGCTTTGTGATTACATGGCAGTGTATATTGATAATGATTTTTTTTCAAGAAGCAGCTTGGTTTTGCATATAACTAGTAGACTGAGAGACTTCCATTCTTTTTTTGTTTGGATGTAGTTATAACATTTATTTTCTCATGGTTGGAAATACCAGATTTTTTTTTTTATTTTTTTTCAATTTTACTTAAACTGAGCTCTTAATTAGGCTTTGTTGTTGGGTTGTTTTGTTTTGATTTTTTTTTTTTTTTTTTTTTTTTTTTTTTTTTTTGTGGAAGTTTAAGTGCATACATTTCCTGGAGACACTTCAAACTCTAAGCTTAGACTGAATCCATCTTTGGCAGCTTATAACACCATATTTCCAGATCCTTAAGAAAAATAATCTTCATAAATGTCTGTGCCTGTATTGGACCTATTTTCTATTCTCTGGTATACTAAAAGCTTGTAGCATCATTTACATGTACACATCTATATGAATGGCTAATCAACTTTATAACTGTGTTCTCACACACTGTTCCCTAGGATACTACATAGTTTGCAGCAGTGGTGCTAAGCAGCTCTACATTGCTTGACATTTTACAAGAATTAAGTAACTGTTTCAACGGTGCATGAAGCTGTCTGAGTGTCCATTTCACAGACAGAGAAATTAAAAGGAGTTGGTAGAAAGGTCTTTTCTAATGCCAGACAGGGAATAAGGTCCTGCCTCTGCTCATTGCCCATGCTGTTCTTCCCTCCAAGTGGACAATCACCAGCAGGGTGCTGACAGATGGAAACAAATGGGAAGAATGTAACAAATAGAGGGATGTAGGAAAGGTGGAGGTCTTAATTATAGACTGGGATTGAGGCTTGCAGAGGGCCTGACTGGAGGAAACTTCAGAACAGGGCTTGCTATACATCTCTAGGAAGCCCTGGGGTTTTCCAACCATCAAAGACTGCAGAGGCACTGCTGCAGAGATGAATCTTTCCCAGCTCTTCTGCACATGCATCCATGTCTCGTCATAACAACCTGGAGCACAGCCAGGAGGTCAGACACACATAGCATTGACACTTTCTACGGTGCTCTCAGAGATAGCAGTCCTTCCCCACAACACTGAGGTAGGAGAACTGTGTAAGAAGTGAAGGAGATAGGTATTGGGCTAATCTGTGGGCACTGGCAAGGTTAAGAGTTGGGACAGCGGTGTCCCAAGTGAGGAAGTATTGTCTCCTTGATTCACCAGTGTTAGCAGATCCTACTGCTTTTCTGTCTTATTTTTGCCACTGTGCTCTTACTCAGGAAGCTTCCTTCTAGATTACAACCTTATATGTTAACCTCTCTCCAGTGTGTAATGGCAGCCCCTGATATATCCATAAGACATCTTCCCAATGAGCTACTTGGGCTTGTTGCTTTGACTTTTTCCTGTTCAGTCTTTTCTGTCCCATTGGATTGATGGTACTATTCACTGAGCAGAGGAAGAAAAATTGGGAAGGCACTTTGAAGAAACCACAGTCCAGTAGCTAAAAGCAGCAAAGACTTGCCTTGTACTGCTCTGTCCATTTAAGCAGGGATGGGGGTAAAATGAGGGAGCTACAGAAATATCAGAACATAAAACACCGGGGGCACTACCAGTTGGATTCTGAAACAAGCAGTTGGTCTGCGGAAGTCTGAGGGCCCAAACCTTCCTCCTGCTGAAGAAGTGGCAGCAAAATTCCTTTCTTGGCCTTACAGGATGGCTGAGACTGGAGTGTGACAGTCATAAAGCAAAGTGATGCTGAGAGGGGCTTCTGCAGCAGGGCACAGTACTAGATGACACTGGTTTGTCCCACAGTCCAGAGCATGTGCTGGGTTAGAGTCAGCATGAAGGCTTGAGGGAGAACAGCAGCAGCACTGGGGACTCTTCTCTTGGGGTGGGAATGGGCCTGTTTGGGCAAGTTATTGGCATGCTAAGATGGGGGATCCCTGAATATTTGGACCCCGGCAACAATAGGTTCTACGTATTTTGCAGGGAGAAGAATGATTTTAAAAGGCAGTGGACGTATCATGTCTCTACAGATAGTGGCCTCTAGGATCCAGTGGCTGGTTCATTTGGCACAGCTCTTCTATTAAACATGCTGCAAGGAACAGGGTCTTCAGTGCTAGGAAGTTGCAAGCAGACTCTTCATCAGGAGACTGCCCATCTTGAGGGCATCTGTTTTCATGGTGCACCCAGTCTTAGCATGAAGTCAGGTGGGTAGGTTTCAGATGGCAGGATAACAGGGTGCCTTCCTCAAAGGAATAAGAATTAGGAGAAGAGCAGTGGAAAGATGAGTGGGAACACAAGGTGGGGTTAGACAGTGGGCTGTGTCTTAGTAATCAGGGACTGCACCACCAGAAGTAGTGGTAATAACAATAGTTATTATACAGGGAAAACTCAGAGAACTGTGACTAGAGGGGTCAAGAAGAGGTGTTTCATCAAGGAAATGTATGATACTGAAAGAAGGGCTAGAGTGTGAGGAAAGAGTTTCTGGCCTGCCGCTCACAGCAAGTGAGGGAGACTAGCGGGGTACCTGGGGCTCCTTGCTGAGCTGGAGCAGATGCTTCGTATGCAGGATATGTCTGGCAGGAAAGGAGGGGCAGCAGCAGCATGGCTGCTCCCACCGCAGGGCTGAGGTGCTGCAGCCATGAGGTGTTTGTGGCACCTCCTGAGTGAGCCTTGCTGATCTCATCTGGACACTGTGGTGCCTTGAGAGCAAGTATCTGAGTTCACGTGGGGCTGCAGGGGCTTTTTGGTGGCTGCTAAAATTATTTTGCTTTCATTATTTGAGTAAACCTGGGAAATTTTTCAACACCACAAATGTTCCCCAAGTGGGAGAGGCCTCAGTGGCATTCTCTCTGCTGAGTGACTGTCTCAGGGTTGGCTGATGGTGGGGAGGAGGCACAGGCTTCCCAGGGCCTGGGTCCTGCACCTGGGTTGGGGCAGCCCCCAGTATCAATACAGGCTGGGGGATGAAGGGATTGAGAGCAGCCCTGTTGAGAAGGACTTGGGGGTACTGGTGGATGAAAAGCTGGACAATGAGCTGACAATGTGCACTCGTAGCCCAGAAAGCCAAACATATCCTGGGACACATCAAGACAAGTGTGTCCAGCAGGTCAAGGGAGGGGATTCTCCCCTCTACTCTGTTCTGGTGAGACCCCACCTGCAGTGCTGGGTCCAGCTCTGGAGCTCTCGGTACAGGAAAGACATGGAGCTGTTGGAGCAGGCCCAGAGGAGGCCACAAAAATGATCAGAGGGATGGAAGACCTCTCCCATGAGGACAGACTGAAAGAATCAGGGTTGTTCAGCCTGGAGAACGGGTCTCTGGGGAGACCTTGTTGTGGCCTTTCAATACTTAAAGGGGGATTATAAGAAAGATGGGGACAGAATGGGTAGGGCCTGTTGTGGTAGGACTGGGGGCAATGGTTTTAAACTAAAAGAATATAGATTCAGATAAGATATAAGGAAGAAATTTTTAATGATGAGGGTGGTGAAACACTGGAACAGGTTGTGCAGAGAGGTGGTAGATGACCCATCCCTGGAGGTTGGGTGGGACTCTGAGCAACTTGATCTAGTTGAAGATGTCCCTGCCTGTGGCAGGGTGGTTGGACTAGGTGTCCTTTTAAAGGTACCTTCCAACCCAAATGATCCTATGATTCTATGACCCACACCAGGCCCTGCCAGGAGCTACAGGTATCTTCTGGTGGCTGCAGCTTGCTGCCCAGTCTTCACCCATATTACTTTCACAGGTGCCTCTCTGCAATTTTTGCAGAGCTCTGGGGCTCTGCAGAGACAGTGCTGTGTGTCCAGTCACCAACAATGTTGCTGCTCTGTGGCATGATGTGTGGGCTGTCCCTGCTTTCTCTGCATCCTTGCAACTTGCTACCAAGAGAAGTATGTTCAAAAATAATAGAGGTTGCTTCTCAAAAGTCTTGTCCGCAGGCAGCCTAGCCCATTTTAGAATAGCTTGAGAAAACAACGCTGAAATCTGTACTAGGTATCAACGGCCAGTGCTCTGCAAGGAGCTCATTTTAAGTCTTTCTGTGGACATCTGTGCGTTTCTGTAAATGTTAAATGCTGCAAAAACACAGCCTTAATGTCTTATATGACTTGAGGGCCTGGTCTTGTAGCAGGACCTATGAGCTGGGCAGTCAATTGTATGTGATGCTGGTTCCTCATTTTGTTGTAAACCTCCTTCCATCCTCTTCTCGGGAGACTCCTGCAAGTTCTCTTCACCAAACTGCTCTAGGACAGCCTTCCCCTAAAGTGAGTGCGGTACATCATTCTCTTCTGTACTGCATGGGAGGCTGTATTTTTTTGGTCTGGGCTGCCTTCCTAGAGTCCCCCTTCCCAGATATTCCATGCTTATTTAACCATGGGCAGGACAAATCAATGAGTTCTCACAAACCTTGCTTGTACAGACCCACAGTGACATTCTGACTCTATTTGACTAATTCACTGTACAGATGTTTAAGCCACAGCAATGTCACTTCTTCTAGTTGCAAGCCACTTCTAGCTGCAGGAAACTGATGAAGAAAAAACAGGTTAGCACTTAACCCAAGTGCCTTCCTGTTGCATTGATAGATCAAGACTGCAGTCACTTTGCTGCTTTCTCTGCGCATATGCTGCTGGCAAGGAGCAGAGACTTCACTGACCTGGTTTATGGCTGATTGGCAGGGCTGTTTGTCATCCCCTCCTTAGCCCGTGAGTAGATACACGCAGGAGAGCTCAGATGTCTTGCCATGTTATGCACTTTACTTTTAGACATTTAAATGAAAGCAAGATTAATTCCACCTTAACCTTCAACATCTGAGTAGATGGCTGAGCTGAACTTTTAATTGGTTGGTTGGTTGTTTTTAAGTTTGTGGTTTGTTTGTTTGTTTGTTTGTTTTTTCCCTCAGGACGTTCAGTCAGAACCAACATGAGGAACAAACTGTGGCTCCAGATTATTTCCTTCTTCCTTCTGTTTCAGTACAGTAAGTTCTAAAATACCTCTTCCGGGCTGTACACTCACAGGATTTATCTTGGTAGCTGTTGACACAGGCACTGCTGAGGTGTGCATGGCAGAAGGTTGCTGTGGGACAACAAGCACAAGATAGGCTACCAGGGGAGTGGGTTCCATGGAATAATGAATTATGGAGGAGGCTCCAGAGACAGTGGAGGACAGACACAAGGTGCACAGCTGAGCAGAGCTCAGCCAGGCTACATACCACTCCAGGAAGCGCCAGTGGGGACAGTGCGGAGGTAGTGCCAGCCTTGTATTGAAATGCCTCCTGTTGATATTAGAGTAGGATTCCCTGCCCCCATCCTCCCCTCCCTGCTCCCCCCTCTCAAACAAACAAACAAACAAAAAAAAACCCACCACAACAAAACACCTTTGCCATAGGAAAGGCTCCAGTGGCCAAGACCAGGATATCCCCAGGGTTTATGGATGCGGTTGGCAGGCCAGCCAGGGACAATGGAGTGAACTTCTGGTCTGAGCCCCTTTGCTCAGGACTGCAGCGTGCAGACAGTCGCTCTGCCTTTCTTGCTGGTTCCTACCCGCTATGCAAGCTTCAGCTGACTCAGAGCTGACTTTCTGAACAGGTCAGCTGGACAGAAAAAGGCAGTGACAAAAGCGTCTGCAGGGAACAGGTGCAAGTTTAGCATTTTACGTGCTGCTTCTAAGCAGAGCATTGGACCTGCTCCAAACCTAAATTAGCAGAAAAGATGAATTCAGAGTTATATCTTCCTGCCATATAGGACCATTGTGATGTCTGGTCTGAATTTTGTGTAACACTAAGCCACAGAATTACCCTGTATTAATTTCAGTTTGGACCAAACTAGATCTTACCATTAAAAGTATTTTATTTTTTTGTTTCTGAAGCTGCCAAAGATGAACAATTCATCCTAGATCTAACTGGGTTTAGGACTCTTAATTATTCCCTCCCCAAATAAAAAGCTGTCCTCTTCTTATTTTTGTTAACAGATTCTTGCCCAAATATACACTTGCAGTTTACCAGCTACCTAGAAATAATAGTCCATTTGACTGATTAACATAAAAACATAAAAGAATGCTAATTAGCAATGCTTATTAGGTTATTAATAGTTGCTGCCCTCTCAAAAGGAATGCACGGATTTTATAACTGTGTATTTTTTAGATGTGTAAAGTTAGGCTAAGGGAGAAAAAGTGTGTTGTTCAGGACTGGAATAAGTGGTGCTTGCACTAAGGCCTTCAGAAGAGCCTACTGAGGGCTCAAAACAAAAAGTTAAAACTTAATGAAAGTTTTAGAACAAAATTCTGAAGTCAGTCTGACATTCTGAAAAGTCAAAATGAAACAAAGTGACGACCACATAGTTTGCATCACTTACAGTTTAATAAAGCATATGTACGCCCTTGGGGCCAATCTGCCACAAGCATCCCCAACATTCTTCTGTCACCATCCTGACTCTCTGAGGGGGGTCTTGTACACAAATCTGAGTGCTGCTCAGAGCTCCTGTAGGGAGAGCATTGTGTACTCTGATGCAACAGGATTAGGAAGAAACTTTTCCCACTGACTTCATTCATCATAAAAGTTGGACTTTGTTTTCCTTTGAACTTACTCTGGCCTAGAATTAGGCTGCACCTTCCACTGGACACGCCTGCTATGCATTGTGACTAAATGCAGACACAACTTGTCAGGACTGTCATTTGATCTAAAGGGTGGAACAGATATTTTTGGTCCATCAATGTACACATTGCATGCATTCCATGTTGATTATTCTCCGCATACAGTGTTCTCTAACTGTAAAATTGAGCGTTGTGGTGGTTGAGCTTATCACATGGGCCTGCTTTCATCTTATGCAAACAATTCTTCTGAACACAAAGCATGTTCAACAAAGGGAAGGTAGGAAGCAAAGTGTGCAGCTTCTCTAAGCAGGCAAGCAGCAGAATGACAAAGGGAGGTGAACTCACAACATGGTTAGCATCAGAGGATTTGGGTGCCTGATGGCTGTGAAGTAACATGTTCCCATCAGGCTGGGGGCAGCCCTGATGGTAGTAGAGGACCCATGCCTGACTCAAGCATGGATGGAACAACCTTGATCTTCCCTTAGAGGATGACAATTATATTCCCATCAAAAAGGGATGATCCTATACATGTAAGAGTTGAATAGTCACTGTGGTAGGCATGGTTTGCACCAGCATGGCATGCTGTATCTCCTACAGGCCTTTCTTCCCTCAGTTATTCCTAGTGTAGTAGCAGTAGGTCTTGTCAGCCCAAGATGCTGTCAGGAAAAGACTCACCAATGCAGATATTTCTCCCTGTACTGCCATCTTCCCTGCCTTAAGTTATCTCCAGAGTGACAACTTTAGTGTGTTATGCAGAGAACAGTAGTGCTTTTCTACAGCACGCATTGGATACTGATACATGAGCAGAGCTCCTGCAAAACAATTAGAAGAGCATAAATCCTGCTTTGTGACCACTTTCAAACTGACTGATTTTCTTAATGACCAGTGTAAATTCTACAATTGCCTCTCAAGTTCTCTTTAGAACTCTGTTTCAGTGATTAATAAATTGTGCCTATCATTTTAGTACCAGAATGATTTATGGAAATTATAGTGACTACAAATTTGCAATTATTTTTTTTTGCCAAAATTCCATGACAAGAATGTTCCCAGCCTCTGGAGCTGAACACAAAAAGTGTAGATGCTGCAGATATAAAGCTGTAGAAAATAGTAAGCAGAGGGAATGGTAAAGAAAGAGTTACTAAAATGGCACTTTTTTGTAAATGTACAAACTGCCACATAGATGTCATAAAATGAAAACTAGACTAGTAAAGAACAGTACTCAATTTAGGAAGTGGTATCATTAAAATGTTTGAATATGCTACAGTTTCTGATTGGGTAATCATGCCTCTTGTGTGCTACTTAAGCTAGGATTCTTGCAGAAATAATACATGACTCTGTTGTAGTGACTATATAAAAGGGGACAGAGATAAGTTTGAAAATTCAGTCACCATTTGGACATTTCCTGATATTTGGGCATGCCATTTGTTGCCGCAGCTTTTAAAATAGATTTTTGTTTGACGCTTATCTTGCTGTCAATGACTTGCCTCCCTGCAGAGATGGAACACATCTTAAGCTCCAAGACTGGAGACTTTTGAGGAGGCTGGCACAGAGTGGTCTGGTCCCTTCAGATTTAGTGGGAGCACTGAGGACTGTGTGTGTTGATATGAGTTCTGCTTGCTTCATCATGGAAGTTGATATTGTGTTTTTTCTTTCCAAACCTACAGCTACATGTTGTGAAAACATCACCTGTTTTGTGGACTATGTACAGACCCTGTCCTGTATCCTGAGAAATGACTTGGGTGCCAGTTCATATAACCTCACTGCAACATGGTATGTCTCAGTCAGATAAGCAAAGTGCAGTCAGCAGGAACTTCTAATATGATCATAGCACAGTGGTGTCCTTCTGTTCTCTTTGTAAGGCAGAATTCTTGTTTTTGCTGCCATGATGGTTTTTGTTTGGTACTTCATGCTCCAGTTATCAGCTGGCTTCTCCCCTACCAAAGGATCCCTGGTTCCTGTGTCCACTGACAGCTCTGCTCGCCTCTGACTGCTACAATGGCTTGGCATTGTTTTCCACCCTGCCCTGGAAATACCTTAACCTTTGCTGCTGTTAACAATGTACTTTCACTCATGTGTGCTGTCAAGGCTCATGCAGCTTGTCCAAGCCCTGTATGGCTGCTCTTCTGCCCCAGCAATTAAGTGGGTGCAGTCCTGGGCTGCGCAGTCCTGGTGAGCACCTTTCCTTTCCACAGAGATTTCAGCATCACTTTCCTACTTCTTTCAAAGATGCTAAACTAAGCAAACAGAAGGAAAAAAAATATATTCAGTGAAAGTTCAAAGATAAATTTCTATTTGAACATGTTGCCTTTTTTTTTTTTTTTAATCATTAATCTCTATGCCTGGTGGTTCAGCAACATATTAGTCCAACTAGATCATGTGGTTGATGTGGACTTGTTTGTTTTAGGGTTCTTGAGGATGATACAGAAAATACTGTGGCTGCCTGCAGTCTCCTTCAGTTGTCCAGGAACACCAGTCACACACAGTACATGTGCACTGTGGACATGAGTGGACTCCTAGCAGATGTCAAAGTCCAGGTGAATGTTACAGAGACGGCTGATAGGCAGCACGTGATTTCCAAAGGCTTTTATATGGCAGAGAACAGTAAGTACAGAAATGGTGGATTTGATAAATACTGTCTGACCTTATGTCTATCTGCTAGGATAGTCTGGGCAAGGAGTGATCGTGGCAGCCAGTGGTGGGTGGCTCTGGTGTACACTCGCCTACACAGAGCACTGTGCTTTATTGTTGCTATTGTAAACTACAGAAACATTTATGCTTGAGGCTGAGCTTAGAGCTGGCTTGGCCCCAGCCTTTTCACAATGAAATTCCTTTTCCCCATGAAGTAGTAGGTGATAAATTTCCACCTTAGACCAGTCTCATACCTAGACTATGCAAGTTTTTGTTCTTGGCTAGAATCTAAAGGGCAGGAGGAATTGCTTTAATTGCAAATGCCATGAACGTCCTCACAAGAGTTCCAGGAGGCTCTTGCAGTAGACACTTGAACCAACATGACATTATTGTGGGTGGAACAAGGTGTCCCAGACACAGTGGTGGAGGTAGCACTTCCCCTTTCTGGGGCAATTCCTAACCATCTCTTCCTAACCAGGAAGAATGAGTGCAATCATATAGTTGACTTGTTGGAATGCTGGTGTGTTGTGAGTTGTGCAGCAAACTGAAGAAAAGGGGTGGTTAGCCAGGCAGACAGTTACCATGCTGGCATATGAAAAAGGATTCTCCTACTTCAATTCTTCTGAAATTAAACTTTACATGAGAACTATCATCTTTTTGAGAAATGCCATAGCATTTCAGGAATGCCCTGTGCCCCCACTGACAGACTATAGATTGAGTAGTGGTGCTTTGCGTGTCTCCAGGATGTCCCCATACAGAGACATCATAGCTCAGTGATGGACCCATCAGATTAGTGCTGGAGTTTGTGTATTACTGCTTTTCCTGCATATGAAAACACCCTGCAGGGTATACAAAAGCTTGCCTTTTAGGCACTTGTGACACACAGATTTGCACTGGGTTTATGCAATGTCCATTATCCTCAGCTTTTCCTCGTGTCTTTGTTACACTGAGGGGCATTTCTCTAACTGTGCAAGTGACCATGACTACACAGAGTCCTCCTGTGTCATGAGAACAAGGTGCTCTACTCTACATCTCCCAGGAGGTAGCCCCTTGTGCTATCTTCTCCTGCTCCTTAGGTGATGAGGAGGTTCAGAGACAGGCAGAATTCATATTCAGAGAAATGTGGGCCTGACTTCACTATGCTGGCTGAAGTGTGAGGTTCTGTGCATGGCTCAGGACTGCTCAGCCTGACAGGCAGAAATGTTGTGGATGTTGTCCAGTGTAGGAGGGCCCACCCTTTCCAGGGCAGTTTTGCTACCTACTCACTCTGCATTGCTGATACCATGCTGGGCCACCTTTTGTCTGCAGTAATGTTATAAAGGGTAACACCATCCTGTCTTCCAGTCAAACCACAGCCTCCATTCAATCTGACCGCTCTGTTCTCAGAGGGTTACAATATTTCTTGGGAAACCATCTACCAGAACTCTCCTTTCTACTTTTTAAATGAGGAACTGGAATATCAGCTGCGTTATAAGAGAAGGACTGACACCTGGGAGGTAAGTGAGATGTCCGTTTACTATCAAGTAGGATGTAGCAGCAAAAAGAGGAGGCCAGCACAATCAGGACAGGAACACTGGTGTTGAAGAAGGGTTTTCATGGTTTAGAAAAGATGTCTCTGCTTGCCTGAACTGAAAAGGGGCAAAACTGAAAAAATAATTGAGAAGCAGAAGCTGTTTGAGAAGTACTAGATCCTATGGGGAAGGCTAATAGTTAATTTACTTCTCATGCTGTCCTGCATGGAAGGATCCCCCAGGGCCCCATGCAGCTGCTGACCAGCCAGAGCACAGCTTTGCAGAAACATCATGAAGGCAGAGGAGATTACTTTGCAGGTCTCCTCACTGTATAGCAGTGAGGGTAAGGTGGGAGCAGTCACTCCATCCCTGAGTGTTTGTTGTTTCATGGTGCACAGACTCAGAAGACTAAAGCTGTCCATGAAGATAAACGGACGCTGATGATCCTGCCATGGGAACTCCAGGCAAACACTGAGTATCAGTTCCAAGTGAGAGCCAGACCCCGAGAAGACACTAGCTACCATGGATTTTGGAGTGAATGGAGTCCTCTGCTGACATTGAAAACCAGCCCTGCCGGTACATACTACCAGCTCTCCTTGCACTTCCAGTTGATCCAACGTAAAATCTAATTAATTAGAACAAATTTGAAATAGTCTAGTAAAGACAGGCATGTTTGGCTTGCTTACTAAGTACATGAACCCCAGGCCTGGGCTGACATGTGCTGTCTGTATTGACCTCACTGTGTTGCAAAGCCCACCTTACATCATGGTCCATGGGAGGAGAGTTTGGTGGGGTTGGCTGTAAGTTTGAGTGCCCCAGGAGGAGTGCAGCCTCTAGCTTCCCTTCCAGTGTTGAATGTCCAGGGTCCTGCTTGCAGCTTTCAGAAATGGAGGAGATCTAGTAGAGGTGCCTCCAGTACTGGAGCTTAGTATTGTCTTCTGCTGAGGGGATAGGGGACCCCGCTCTCAGGGCAAAGTTCTGCGTCTGGACTCCAACGTTTTGTCATGCTGGGCATGGGTGTTTCATTTGGTAGCCACCACTCCCACTCCACAGGGAGTGCACAGTACCCTATGCACAGAGTATGCTGGTGCTTGTCATGGTGGAACAGAGGCTGTAAAAACAGGGAGTCTGTTCAAATAAAGCAGGGTAGAATGACTGTGGTCAATGTCAGCAGCATGTGCTGAACTTCCCTGTTCTCACTGATCTGCAGCTTAAACTGAAGTATTACATGGTGCTGTAGTAGCAGAGTCAGGCTCCAGTTGCTAATGGTTATCCGAGTTCTGGGTCTCAAAGGTTCTCCTTCCCATCACAGGCAGAGAGCAGCCAACAAGCACTCATCTAGTCAACACCTTTTCTTCACTTGTCTCTGGCCAGCTACACTCTTTTCACTTCATGGATCGTCTGTTGACGTGTCAGCAACACCAAAGGTCTTTGTAGCAGGGAGCTGTCCTGCCCCAAGCATGTTGCCTGTCAGTCTGTGGTGCTGCTGATGCACTGCTCCTTTCATTGATGCACTCTTCTTTGAGTATCCTCATCCAGACCTCATGTCTGGAGTGCTAGACCCCAGGTGACAGCCCCAGTGTCCCTAAGAGAAAGTCTGGGGTAGAAACTGAGGGTGTCTCCTCACCATCTTCTGTTTGTTAACCAGGGTAGAAATACAAGGTGAGCCTGAATGACTCTGTCTCTTTCTCCAGCAGTGACACAGACAGTAGGCATGGGATGGCTGCTGCTGTTCGGTGTTATCGTGGCAATCACTGCCTCAATCACAACCTTTCTGGCCAAACAGCGGAGGTAAGAAAGTTTCATGAAGGTGGAGTAAATGCTTCTATTCTGTCTTTCTAAAGATGGGGTGTTGACGTGCAGTCGTCTTTTATCTTGTATATCCATGCACTGACACAGCTATGGGCCTGTGAGAGCCAGCAAAGTATGGTCTCCAGCCGGTGTACTGTCCTCAGTGTCTTGCTTTTCTCTGGGGCTCTGCTGCCATTTCAGCTGGCTGGGACAAGACAACGGCATGTGGGGACTGAGCAGGGGCCACTCAGCCTCCTAGGCTGTTTTCTTGGTCCTGTCTGTGCTCTATAGCTGCCAGATGGCAGCAGTAGCCAGGGCTGGCCTGCCCCTTTCCAAAGCTGATGTAGGCTCCTCAACACTGGCTGGGGACCTCCCTCCTTTTTGGAGGTCACATGCTCTTGCAGAGGGATGGGGTGCACACTGCCACCAAGGAGGGCAGTGGGCTGGTGCAGCAACAGGGCTGGCACAGCCAACAGCCACAGAAGAAGTGCATAGGACAGAGTTCTGGCCTGCAGGTGCAGACCATGGGTCAGCCCAGCCTGAGGGGAAAATGCATTTCCAGCACTTGGTGTTTTTCCAGGAAGGAGAAAATTAGAAACTCTAATGAATGCATTAATATTGTGTGCACAAGCCCTAAGGGCTGAGGCCCCACATGCTGTGAGGCTCACCAGAAAGGCCATTAGATGGCTCTGACAGCACAAGACATCTTTGGATCCTCAGTCACTTCCTAACTTGTGAGGCCAGGCAGGTGATTTCAGCTGCTTGAATTGGATCTGGAGATGCCTTGCTTTGCAGCTGTGATGTGTACTTAAACCCAAAGACTTTCTCTTTTCTCTTCCAGTTTATTGAAGAACTTGGCTTGCATCCCAGACCCTGCTCCCTTTTTCAAACCTCTTTACCTGGTGCATAATGGAGATTTCAAGGTATAAATGGGCTACACAAGCAAGTGAAGCACATGACAAAATTGACCTAAAAGGCCTATCATGCTGTCCTGGGCAAGGAGTTCTCATTAGAGCAGTGGGAGGGGGAATTTATCTCAAGGAAATTCCAAACAGCTCCAGATATAAGGACTAGAGCTCTCTGGTGTCTATTCTGTGCACAAAGGCCTTTATGTCACATCTGTGCTGCTTATCCCCCGTAGGTGCTGTCTCAGTAAGTGAGCTGAGCTTTTAGGTGATCTGTGAAGCCTGGGAACCTGAAGGAAGTGGACAAAGGGGGTACTGGGACAGTAACTGTGATTTTTCCAAAGCTCCAGTCCCATGCTGTCATCAAGGCCATGGAGCAGACTTCACTGTAGATTCAGATCTCCCACTCCAACCTCTGCAGTGACACAAGCTCAACATTATGTTCTCTCTGAAGAGTCACTCAGAGTCAGTAGCTGTGCATATCATCCTGGAAAGCTGGCTAGAGCTTTGGTGGCAAATAACTGCTGTGTGATAGTACAGTGCAGCTGTCTCCCTATGAAGGAAGTGTCTTTGAGTAACTTTGACTAGCCCTCCCAAATTCTCTTCTCATTTAACACCAGCTGAACTTGCTCATGTAACAAAATGGTTTGTGAAGACTGCAGAGTTTTCTGGAGTTCTCAGGATACAAAAGTAAAAGAACATTGAACATCCATAAATAATGTTTGTATTAAGATGAAGAACAACTCACAATGCCATTATCAAATTGTAAAAGTGCTGGCATGTGGGTGCAGACATCACTACCTCTTTGTGAACAAGTTCCTGCTGCTGACAGCATTGATTAGAGAGACTTCAGTGTCTGCTTTTTGTTTCTGCTTTTTCTTTGACCCTCTGGGAGATGGACACCAGCTGGGCACTTATGATCTTCATGTACTTTCCCACTGCTGTATGGTTGATGTTTGCAATTAGGTTAAGCAAGTAGTCTTGGATGGGCGCCATTCAAGCTGAAGCCTGCAGTGACTGTCTCGCTTCCTTCCTGCCTTCCTCTTTCAGCCCTACTGTGGCTTCCTATATCTGCACGGGGTGGGGTAATTGCATCCTCTTGTGAGGCAGGTGGCACGGGTTGCTCATAGGAAAAGGAACCAGGACAAGGTAGACTCTGTGGGAATTCCTGAGAGTCACAGGCTGACACTCACAGTGGAAGTGAAAGCACCCTGCATGCTAAGAGCCATGCTTCTCTTGAGGTGAATCCATGGGGTTCTCTGTTCTGTGAGAATTACATTCTTGCTGGTTTCTAGTTAGGCTGTTCAGCGCTGCTAGGAAGGGAATGAGCCTCAGTTGCTAAAGCTGAGTTACCTAATAAATTTGCAGATTAACGCGGAAGTTGCCCACACAGCCACAATGCAAGATGAACAGGCAGAGGGTGTCAAGAGGATGTGGTGACATCATTAATATGTGAACAGTCTCATCATTTTCAGCTGACAAGAAATCAACGGATGTAGAGCTCATTCAGCTGCATCCTGTCTGCATCCTAGCAAGTGGTTAGGTTATGCCTGTGAATAATGATCAGAAAATTACAATAGTAATGCTCTGCAGACAACAGTCCTGGATTGGGTAGGAAGCAGTGAAAATGTTAAAGGAAAAGCTAAGACATAAAAGGAGAAAGGAAAGCAGAGGAACACTGTTTATTCTTGTGTGTGCTCAATTCTAAGAAAGGGATTTCCTACTGCTTCTTCAAATAGCTTTTTGCACCGTAGGTGCCTTTCTGTCCATTACAGCTTTAGTAATAAGCTCTTCGTAGCTTAGGTTAAAAAGAAATTAAAGTAGACTCGGTGCTTCCTCCTCTATTGAAGATTTTTCCATGCCCTGTGTCAGAGGGTAATAAGCTGTGTCAAGCTTTTCTCTTCCTAAATATTTTGCTCATGTCTAGTTATGCTGAGCACAGTTTGGGACAGCAGGCTGATATGCTTAAGGCAGTCTGACAGCTGTGGCAATACCCAGCTTTCATGCAGCACTCTGTCAGAAGCCTTCACAGTATTTATGAAGTTCAGTGGTGTTACCTATTTTCTATGTAGCAGAAAGTGGTGCACTTAGAAGAGCCTTGATGCATCTCATCCATTAGATGAGTGTCAGAGAGAGGGCAGAACCAAGTCTTGAGTCTGTGTTGTGCCCAGTTTCTGGACTGCAGAATTCTCTAGTAGGACTTACCTGCATTCAATAGTGGCACATGCCTAAAGTTTGCTGTGATCTGAGCATCTGAGTCAGTGACTTCAAAAAGAACAGAATCTTCTACTTTGTTCTTAGATCAGAGAAACACAGAGGTGCCTTTAGTCCCAGATGTGACAATGCAAGGGAATTGTGATCTAGAGATAATGCATGGCACAGGGTAGAATGTAATACTAATGGTGATACAGGAAGGGCAAGATTCAGTGTGTGGTACTCTCTAATCACCTTGAGTAAGAATTATCTGCAGCAGGCACTAGCTACAGCTCTTTGAGGTCCCCATCCCTTGCTTACCCCTGCTTCCTTCTTGTCACTGTGAGAGAAGAGGCTGGTCTGGGGAATGGTTGCATAACAGAAGGTTGGGAGAAGCCTTGCCCTGACCCCTTTTCCAGGGAACTGAGGTGGGAGGAAGTGACAGAGCAGCGCTACGTGTGTGTTGTGTGCAGATGCAGCACACAGGGAGAAGCTGTCCATCTTTCCTGAAAGAAGCAGTGCCCAAGACAAGAGGGCAGGGAAGACTTGCTCGCTTGGGTTGTGACCTCTGGCTGATGCACAAAGTAATGCTGCTATGGGCAGTGGCATTCTCTGCAGCATAGAGGAAACTGCAAAGCCATGCAAACCTCTCAGAGCTAATTATTTTCAATTACTCAAGTCAGTTCTCTCATAGCTACCTGTGTCTGCTAATAACAACATTTCATACCCTGCTATTTTGGAGGAGTCAATGATTTTTAGAGTTTGACTTTGCCTCTAAAAGTATAAGAACTTTGGTCATTTCTGTGGAACCTCAAACCTGATGATACTAACCACTCTCTTTCCTTCTCTCCCGGTATGTCTTTTTATGCAGAAGTGGGTTGGTGTATCTCATACAAAAATGACCCTCGATTTCTTTGAATGGGGAGTAGTCCTTCCAGAAGTCCTAGAAGTTTACACCATGCATCCTTCCAACAACACCTCACGGGAGGAGCTGTGTGAGCTGAGAAAAGATCTGCCTTGCAAGCCCTGTGTGTCTTGCCTGACTGCTCCAGGTCAGGATAGCCAGTCCCTACTGTCTAGTGTGAACAGTAGCAGTGGGACTCAGGACCAGTCTTACGGGCATTTGTCCATTGATACTGTGACTGTGGCCGATGAATTTACACCTTGTAACTGCCAGTGCAACTGTAATCGTATGTACAGGGGACATGAGCATACCAGTGAGGAAGATGATAGTGCTGGAGAAACTGGTTACCCCAAGGTTAACATTGATGATGAAGATAGAAAGATATCCAGTGACTTGCACCTGGCTGTCCTGAGCACACAGGACAAAATACTTGCTTCAGGCTCTGTGTCCACAGACCACCCGAGGAATACAAGCGTCCCAGCCCACCAGCAAGTAGAAAGGGCTTTGGAAGGAGGGATGGGGAGCATCCTAGAAGCCCTTTCCTTGCAGCCTAACGAGTGGGATTTGGAAAATCCAGGTTCTCTACCTTCTCCTGATGGTGAAAGTGTTTCCTGCAGTGAAGGCTCCTATGACTTCTTCCCTCACATTGCAAGGCCTGGTGATAGTTACCCTATGATCTGTGTAGATTTGGACACTGTTGACAGTGGTTTTGTGGACTCTGACTGTGGGAGTCCAGTTGACTCTGAATTTCAGCAAAGCGGTCAGGCCAGCTGTGGGCCCATCCCTCTTGAGCGAGAGGGGGAGGACTTTCCACGGAGCTACGTCAAGCAGTGGGTCTCCTGTCGCTCTGACAGCCCTGTCAACGGGGGACAGACAAACTAAGGACTTGTTGTTGCCTTGCAGAGTGCAAGGCCTTTTGCATACTATTCCAGGAGCAATGTGTGAGCAAAATTCAGGAGAGAAACAAAGTTTGCTTTGTGTAAACTCTGTTGCATACAGTGGAAAACTGTTAGGTCCATAGAAATATATGCTTATTTCTATTGCCACTTATCCTATTAATGTTTCAAACTTGATGTGATTGATTTTTTTTTCCTTTTTTTTTAAGAATCCTATGTCAAACTCTCTTATAATAGCAGAAAAATCAATTGTACCTTGAAAATTACCCTTTAGCTTATGTAGATGTGCAAATTTTTTTGACAGTAACATACAAAGTACAAAACTTTAAATTATTTTCCCTGGTAGTCTCACATGACTTGAGAGTTTGGATGTACATGGAATCTTAGAAGCATAACCCCAAGCAAGCATGTTTGTTACATTAAAGTTCCCCTACCCTTTCCAAACAACATAGGTGGTGTTACTTCTCTACTAATATCTTTGGTTCTTTAAAACCAGCTGTAATAGTTTGTTAATTATGGAGGGTCTCATCCCTGTCCATGGAGTATGATCAGAAGCAATTCTCCTGTAATCATCACAGAACTGTGTGTCCAGGAGACCAAACACAACTCAGGTTTCAGAAAGACTTTGCCTTTTCAGGTGGAGTCTGCAAATGAGAAGTCTTCAAAACACATATAATTCCAGACAAACTCTTGCTACCAGGGCATTCTACTGAATCAGCATCTCTCCCAGCATTTTCCAAGCACATTAACTGAAACACTGAGCAGCCTTTAGAACTATGCAGAAATTTCAGAAATATTGTTCTACCTGGATGTGCTTGTGACTCCATCTTCTGCCTTGGACCTGGTCTGCTGCAGTTAACAGGTCAGTAGCACAAAGTTTGAGCATTTTCTGCTAGCTAATAAAGCCAACCAAACTTCTATTTGCACTGTAACTGTGAATATGTTTTGCTCTGATACTCCTGTTTCTCTGTTTTGTTTAGGATAATTGCCTTAAAAAGTTACTGTAATACTGATATTGAATGTGAAGACCTAGATCTTATGTAGGCATAAGTGCTACTAACCCATGGGCTTCCCAGAGGAGCTTATATTGAGGGAACATTTGTGGTGAATGAAGTATGTTTCCAGTGCAGTAATAACCTGTTGTTAATGTGATACCAATAAACTCTGCCCTGTTCCCCATATCTTACCCAAGACTTTAGCCAATCTCAGAGCTCCCAAAACAAGAGGGAGCATTGTAATGAAGAGAAGGTGTTTCTTTCACAGATGAGTGCTGGGAAGAGTTTATCTATGCATCCCTATCACTGATTTGATTCTGCTGTGTTGATTTTGAACCTACAGGGCTTAGCCTTGCCCATGTTGTTATTACCTCAGTATACCCCTAGCTCAGGGGCTTCCTGGGCACTGCTCCAACATACTAGGATTTCTTTGTTCCTTCCCTCCTTTTTCTCTGTTTTTCTTGTCCTCTTCTGTAATAAGTCATGGGAGGTATTGTCTTAGCATGTTAATGCATCCTCTCTGCTGTGCTGCAAGTATCCTGCGTGCCCTCCACGAGGCAGCAGAGGATCGAGCCAACTCCATTTCCTTGTTGATCAGCTGAGTCTGCCCTGCACTTTCCTATAAGGTCAGCTTGCATCACACTTATGTCTATGCGAACGTGTACTGGGCAGAAGCATCACTGGCGGTCTGTTACACATTCTTCTGCAGCTTCATCTTGTAGCTATTTGCACTTCAGAAACTACATTATGGTAACAGGTCCCAGGCTGCTTAAGAGAGGAGGAGAATCTTGCCTATTTTTCTAGGGCCCTTTTACATCTCAGTTTTGTGTGCTCCTTGTTTATGTTGGTATCGTTGGCCCCAGAACTGCTGAAGGAGCTGTTTCTGGTTTTGCTACACTATCTAGCTGCATGTCTGGTAGAAGGTGGTGGTTTGGTGCTCTGTTGAACTAGAAGTTGCCTTTGGTCACCCTGAGAGGCAGACTTCATGGGTAGAGAGGAGCTTCCTTTGATATGTGGCATAAGGGTATTAAAATAAGGGAAACTGTTCCCTTTGGGGCAAGCTGAACAATTAAGGTTTTTGGCCAATGAGTTGTTGACACTGTGGAGGGGTTTGAGGTGTTTGGGTTTTTTTCCGGTGGCTTCTAGCAGCAAACTGCAAATGTCTCTGATCTAGCAATATCTAAATTAGAAAAGCTGTTTCCCCAGGAATGCTAAGGCCATTGGTAGGATTGAAAGTCCATGCTTTGTTGGTTCTTGGGAGAGCTCCCTTGCCCTCAAACAAACTGTCTCTAAAAGGTCTCACTCCAACCTTCTGTGACCTCAGTAACCCACCATGGCAGATTCCTGAACAGCAATGTGAAGCACAGGAAACTGTTATGATAATAGCGTGGTAAAGGCATTTGATGTTTAAGCGTTTGACCACATAGGCCTGCTTAAAAGAATAGAGTTTGCAATAGGCTGCCTAAGCCCTTCACTGTAGGGGAATCTGCGTAGCCACTCCTGCAATGCTCAGATAACCAGGTGATCTAACTTTAGCCTACCTTGCAAAGGTGAGGTTAGACATGCACTGCACATTGGGATGAGGTAGTAAGATGTCAGCAGCACCACTCATGTAAACAAAGTCCTTAAATGGCTGTGATCTGGTGCACTTTGTGCAGTATTCATAACAATCAGGGACATGATAGTGGACTTAAGCAGTGTTCTTTTACTGGGGGACTTGATAAGGAAAGGAAAGTAGGGAGGTCTACTCACAGATTCTTGAGTGACAGCATGATTGGGATACAGAAATGGTCCTGGATTATACTGACCACCTATTCTGGTAGACTAACAATGTGTTCACTAGCCAAGCATAGAAGCAGGTAAACAGAAATCCCGATCTATATGAGTCTATCTCAGGCTCAAAAACATGCATTATTGTACAAACCAAGGAATGCAGCACAGACAAAGTGCTGCATGTCTAAGTAGCTTCCACTGAATTGTGAAGCTTCTCCTATTTACTATGTTTGCCTCTAGTGATACAAAACCAGAGGAGATAGCAAAACATATGCATTTGTTACTGGGTTGATGGAAGACAAACAATTAATGTCTATCCAAATGGAGTACTTCAAACAAAAAAACCAAACAAAAACCCCAACAAACAAACGACTTCAAGGTAGATGCAACTTAAAACAAATCATCTGGTGAGAAACATGGGCCTGATGGAAGCTAATTGTGGGTCACATGTAAATGGGTCCTAGAAAACATGAAAGAAGGGTCTGAGTTGCCTTTAGAGAACAGGAGTTCAGTTAATAGCCTTTGGGCTGAGTGGCATTTGGGGTATGGGAGGAGTACAAAAAAAGGCAACTTGCAGAGAGCTGTGATGTTCTTCTCAGAAATATCACTCTGTATTTTGGAATAGTAATATGAAAGGAAACTGGGAAAATAAGTTTGTGCTTTGCCATTTGAGCCAAACTGCTGCCAAACTCCTGTATTGATTTTTCTGTCTTCTCTGTCAGTAGAATATGCTAAAGCTGTGGGGTTTACACACCTGTAGCATCCTTGTGGTGACCTGCAGCAGAAGGCTGGGAAGATGTAGGGATACAATTTGTCTCTATAAGAGACAATATGTTTTCTGCTGCAGCAGGCAAACTACAGGCATCTAGAAAGTTCTAAGGCAGCAGGTGTTATTTGCTTAAATGACACTCTGAAGGCTGCTTGCATTTTAGGGGCTTTCTGTTTCTGGTCCTGTTCAGGATTGTTCTAACGATAAAAAGTGTAATATACATTTAGATGCGTAACCATGGGGTTTCATGGGAGTTGGCAGGAGTCTTAGTGGATAGGGAAGGTCCAAAAGTAGGTACTGGGAGAAGCACCGTAACTCAATCTGTAGTACCAATTTGGAAGCATCTGTCTTAATTTCTGCATGGCCCCTGTATTCCAGTCTCTTGGTCCCTAAAACTAATACTGGCAGACTGTTATTCAGGCGGTGCTTTACCTGATTCCGTCCTTCATGTCTCTGGCACTAGACCCACGTATGTGACTGGCTTTATGGATCCTGACTGTAACACTACAGCTGCAGCATTGCAGCTGGGTATGGAAAGACCTGTTCCTTATACACTGTGGGATTTGGACATGGAAGTACTGCAGTGCTTGTTTTCCTCTTCCTCTAGAGTTGCCCCTTAGAGCACAGTGCAGCAATACGCTACGGAGGAAGTACAGGACGGGGCGGCTCGGGGATGCCTCAGGTGTCTGAGCACAGTTGGACAGAGGCCTTTGATGGAAGCAATCTCACATCCAGACAGGGCTAGGAAATGGCTTTAGGTCATTTACAGAGCTCTTCTATTGGCCTTTTTTATATAACTGTTGCAAGATGGTATTTTTATATTCAGCAAATTACTTGGCCTTTTAAATGTTAACCCTTTAACAGAAATTCCTCAGTTTCTCCATCACTAATGAGTAATTGCAGATGCAGCTACTTTAACTCAATCTGATAATCTGAGCAACTTTTCATTGGTTCTTGAGATTATCTTTAAAATCGGACACAGTAAGCTCTGCTTTATTATGCCACTGCTGCTACTGTGTGATCATCAAACCACACAGCCTAAACTATCAAGGGACAGAAGAAGTGTGAAAAGTGAAGTTTCATTTGAGCTGGTAAGACAGTTTAACATATTTCTGTGCTATGCATGCCAGTAAATAATGATAGGATACATCTACTGAGCTAAGATATTGAAAAATAATTTCTTTACCTAAATGTGGAATTCTATGTTGTTTCTTGTACTAGGAACCTAGAACAATAAAATCACTAGAAGGGTCTTTGCACTTTTGTTCTACTAGTTTGCTGAACAGAAAACCACACTATTGCATTAATTTTTATATGGATTATGCTATAAAGAAGCACCATTTTGGACAAATTATTTTTAGGTACTCCTCTCTGACTGAAACAGATGAATGTAAATTAATCCAGCCAAGACAGCCCTCAGTGTTTGGGAATTTGCAGAGAATTTTTTTTTTTTTTTTTAATATATGTATACATATATATATATGTGTATATATGTATGTGTATGAATATTGCTTTACTGCAGTAGTCATCCTTTGTAGCAGCTTTTTTTCAGCCTCTGGGATCCAAGTCTGTCAAATCTAAAAGCATATAGCTGTTCCTCAGCATCGAATTGTGGAACAAGGCTCTTCAAAGATGAAGGGAGAAAAAGACAGGTTCTCTCTGATAATCTGCAGATGAGGAAATCTTACTACTTCTTTCTTATTCTCCAACAGTTTGCATGTGAGTCTACTATGTGCACTCAATGTGCTTCTGTCAAACATCTGCTTAGAGTTCTAGCTATTCAGGAGGTAGATAATGTATCATTAATTTTTCTTAAAGGACCTACAAAATATTTTCTTGTAGGCAGAGATGATTGAAGGACTGCCCATGATAAGCAATCACACTTAAAAGCACAATGGTTCTCTCTAGAGAACGTGTACTTGGGGCTAAACTTCACGGATAGGGGGATGTGCATGTTGGTATAGACACACTATTTCCTGTCACTATTTTACTTCATAGGTGTGAGTCAGTGTCCTGCCTTTCTTTAGTGCCTGTTGGTGCTGCCTCTGGAAGAGATTGAAGCACAGGAAGGGATTACAGTTATTTATGACTAATTTCTAAAATGTAAGGAATGGAAAGAGTTTTCAAGGGTCCAGTTCTGCTGTTCCTACTCCCACAGTGTATCACTCTTATCTTGCTGTGGGTGGAGAATGAGCAGAGCACATTTTGGAACAGCTCAGAACCACTGTCAAATCAGAGCCTGAAGCTTCTGACTTCTAAGATTTAGACTTGTGTGGCAGAGACTATACAAGTTAGCTACAACAAGAAAAATTGCAATGACAAAACAATCTACTATATATAAAAGTTGACGACAGAGGTGGAATAGAACCTAGGAGTCGTGGCT